TTATAATAACACAACAAATTCTTCTATTTAATAAATATATTTTTTTAATAATTATGATTATCATTTATAAATTTATATTTTTAACTTTTTAAAGTTGATAATTTTGCAACCAAAGATTTGAAAAATTGTTTATTAGAGCTACATGTAACAATGAAGGCACAATTAAAAGAAGTTCAAGAACAACAAAAGATCAACACAAATTTCTATTATAAGGAATAATCTCAATTCTACATTGGCAACAAGATAATTTTATTTTATTGTAATATAAAGACTATTTGTCCTTATGATAAGATAAATTATTATAAACTTAAACTATTTTTTATTTTTGAATAAATCAATCTAATTATTTATTAATTACATCTATTAGAATCTATGAAGTTCTATCATGTATTCTATATATCTCTTTTTGAGCCATACAAGATAATAAATATACAAAAAGACAAATGCAACATAGAAATGGACAATAAGCAAGAATTTGAAATTGAAGAAGTCTTAGATTTAAGGCAACACCAAAATAGGATGGAATATCTTGTATATTGGTGTGAATATGATGTTAGTAAATACGCATAGCAGCTAACAAGGAATCTTACAAATGTAATAATGAAGGTTGATGTTTTTTATTTATTTTTTTATTTTTTTTTTTATTGACAATTGCCATCAAAATCAAAATGAAGAATCAAGATGTGATCATTGCTCCTTGTCAAACTCGACTTTAGATGGATGGATAATATCATAAATATACATAAATTAGAATATATAAATTATTTAAATAAAATATATTAAAATATAAATAAATATAAATAGATTTAATAATATCTTATATAAAAGCTTCTTAGAAGCTTCATAAATGTAAATTTGACTTTATATATATTTGTAGTTGATTGATAGGTTAGAAACTTGGCCAAAAACTTAGCCACATGTTGCACATATTGGCAATTTGTGGTAGAAAGTAGCAATATGGTGTACATATAAGAAACTTGCCTTACAAATTAGACTCTTGTATCACAAGTTAGATATTTATTGAAGGTCCTATAAAACATTGTTATATAACTCCTAATTAGATAGTATATATGGAGGCAAGTGTGAAGTCTTCTTCACTCTTATCAATGTCTTTCTAATTCTTAGTCTTATCTCAAGTATTTCTAGTTATCTTTAGCAATAGCCCATTAATTAAATATTATACCATCTTTAAATGATTATATATTCTTTTCTAGTAATAAAAAGTATATTGACTTTTTGATTCTTTTTTTTCATTTCTTTGATACAAAATAAATAATAAATAATAAATTAATTAAAAAATAAAAAATAAAAAATAGATATTATAAAACTTTTTGTTAACTATAAAAGATTAATGTCTCTTCAATAAGTATTAAAATGCCAAAAGTATATTGAAAAAATCAAAAATAGAATCAATCTTATCTTTATGTATATTAAATAGTAAGAAATATACATATAGAAGTTTTTAAAAACTACAAAGCATGTATGTCATAATAATTTTTTAGAAGTATGAAACTTCTTAGAGAAGATACTATTCTTGTATGAAACACCTAAAGATTCAAATCATAATTGAAAAGCTAATTTTAATTTTTTTTATAAAAACTATTTCTACTAAAAAAATAATTATTTAAGTAATTTTAATGTGTATATAAAAAATATAATTATATATAGAATATTTTAACATTATACATCATATTAAAAAAATAATAATAATGCAATCATATTGAAGTCATTTTGAAAAAAATAACCACATAAAATCTTTTAAACATTACTACATTAATAAAAATTGAATGTAATTTCTAAAAAATTATAAAATAATTTAAGATAATTTTATATATCTTTGATAGAAATAACTATAATATCTATATTCAAAAATATATTTAATAAAAATACAATAAATTATAATTATTTGAATAATTAGTCTCATTAAAATTTTAATAAGTTTGTAATATTAATTTAAGAAAATTCATAGTTTAAATTTAATTCAAATTTTAAACTAATAATTATATATATATATATATATATATATATATATATTAAATCTTAATTCTAATACTAAATAGATCATACAAATTTTAATTTTAATTAGGTCTTTTTAATTTAATTTATCTTTTATTTTATTAGCTTGATTTTAAAAATTAATTATATCTCAAAAATCCTAAATCTAATTATATTTTTTCAATATTAATATTTAATAAGACTTATCATTTAAAATTATAATTATGAAAAATAATTAAAATACTATCATCAAATAAGTATCATTAATTTTAATCTTAATAAAAATCTATATTGTGTCTACAAATATGTCTAATAAATATTTTTTTAATCCTAATTTAATAAAAAATAGCCGTAACAAAACATTCCAAAATTTCTAAGTTGAAATCAAATTTATATTTTTTAATATATATATATATATATATATATATATATATATATATATATATATATATATATATTTATTTATTTATTATATCTAGATACAATTATTTTCAACAAAAATATATAAAAACTTTATAATTTAAAATGTAACAAGTTCGTATTGCTTGATATATTTGCCATTTTTTTTAAAGCTTTTTATAAATGTTTTAGAAAAAAATATTTTCAAAAAGATAAAAACAGAAAAAACTTTTTTTTTTCTTTATATTATTATCATTGTATAAAAATAAGTTATTTGATTCAAGAAAATTACTACAAATATTTTTGAAGCTCATTTATTAAGATATTTGTTATAAATTTGTAATCAAATATCAAAACCAAAAGTCCACAGATATTTGCCACCAATGCACTTTGGTTTTTTTTATTAGCTAGCTTTACAAGAAAAAAGGTACTTTACTTTGTGGCCTTTTTAGTACCTATTAGGTGAGCCTTAATTTTCCAAAGGTTTTATCTTCATTTAGATCTTTTGCACCACAAAATACATAAGTTGTAGAACATTCCAAAAATCATTTTACATGAATATAAATTTTATTACTAAATACAAAAGTCCTACTTAAGAATTATTTGGCACCATTGTAAGCACTTAAAAGGTCATCTTTTATTTAATGTTGGTGCATTGCAAATAGAGTTTATCAAGTTGGTTGGTGAGTAATATAAGACATTATATAAGAAGAATATCAATATTAATAGCAAAAAAAACCACATCTACATATAAACATTAAAACTACTTGGCTATAAGGATATCGTAGAATATGATATATTTTGCATTGCAAAACAAAATAAGACATTATAGTCATAAATAAAGTAACACAATTTTTCTTCCCTCTATAATGTAGTAGTATCATAATAACAAGTTTTATAATAAATTTAGTTGGTTTAATCTTAGAATTAGGCAAAACAATTCTAATATATGTATATTTTTGTTGATACCCTACTATTCTAAACCATTCTACTAATATGCATCTATATCAAATTTAAAACTTCTATTTTTTCAACAATAGTACCAAACTTTGCCTTATCTTAATTTTTTTTTTTTTATCCTATTTTATATTTCTTATGACTTATATTTGTACAAAAAACTTACAAAAGCATAAATATAATCTATATAAATGTAGTTTTGATCTAGGATTTTAGAAATAACATTCTTAATCTATGCAATGAAGCTAATAAAGAATATTAAATAAATATAAAAATCTAAAATTAAAAAAATTGAAAAAAAAATTAAAAAAAAATTAAAAAATGCACCTCAAAAAAATTCTTTCAATTTTTTTTTTAGTTTGACTAAATTTTTATCTCTATTTTTTTACTTTTATTAATCTTATATATTTTTTATTATTATTTTATAGAATTGGATATATATATTTTTTTAAAAAAATGAATTTTATTGCTTATAAATTGACTTTACATTCTATCTTATTTATAAAAGATAAATAACTTATCTTCTTTCATCTACCAATTTATATTTTAAATTGTATATTTATTCAAAATCCTATTCTAATTATCAAACTAAGCTATTAATAGTCTCTTTTTTAATAGCTAATTCCTTTTAATATAGTAACTTTAAAGGACTAAACCTTAATCATTTATAACATTAAGCTAAGATTGATTTATTAATTAAAAATAAGATCTAATTAAAAAATACCAAAACTTTTTTAAAAATCATTATTATATTATTAAAAAAACTTTTGTGATTATAATTTGCAACTATTTGAAAGAAACTACAGGTTGGAATTCTAAATAAGTCCGGTTTCCTGAAATTCATTGTTCATTGACCAAATCTAATCTTTCATTCAACATAGCTCAGGAAGGTTTTTAGCTGAAGCATGTGAATTTGACCTGCTTCGGATTTTATTCACATGGTTCTGGTTACCAATTTTTTATCCAGTTTTGAAATAATTTGTAATTTATAATTTTAAACAAATACATTTCAGAGCCGAATTGCATCGTAATGTATAAAACACATTCCAATTCCATAGCATTGACCAAACACAAGCTCCTTTGGAATCAGGCTTGGGAAGTGCTTTAACTAAGTGGCCTTTACCTGCTACTGTCTTTAGCATGATAATTTGCAACAGGTCAACTAACTTGCAGGTTTCTTCACACCGCAGAAGGGTGAAGAAACATAAAGACAATCAGTAATATAAAGGTTTTTGGGCTTCAACTTCGAAGTACCAAGAATGTTTTATGATTCACTTAGTTTGATCCGAATCAGAATGGTAATCCTAGTATGAGAAACTACGATTCTCAGGGCAATTGCAATAGAAATCTGAATTGCTCGAGTAGAATGTCGATTGTAGACAGTCTCATAGCTTTAGCTGTGACTTGGTTCACCATCGCCGATAAGAAATGCATGGTTTGCTGGAAAGGATACGCAACAGATAGCCTCTGTATGCCTTCTTCACCGAGCGACTCAGAAATTGTATCTTCTGTGGGGATCGAAGCACATGGAATTGAACAAATCTTGTCAAAACAAGCAATTCGAACGAACTTGAGGGAGAAGATTACGAATATTTCGAAGATGGTGATAGAGTCAGCCGATGGAGAGAAAGAGGCAAGGAACCATTGAATGCTGGGAACTCGAAATTTTACAAAGAAAAAGGAGTCCAATTACACTTCATTAATGATCATATGCAGTGAAATGCTTTCGATACAATCGGTGCCGCTGTCACCAAAACTGTTATACAGAACGATCGCATCCTCAGCGGATCATGACGTTGCCTTTCCATTGCGCTCCTGACCGTGGTGGACGAGGAGACTGGAGGTGGAGAACACCACGAGAAATGAGAGAGAATGTGATATTGTCGATCTAGAAGTCGCTGGGGATGGCGTGATGGCCGGGGGGAGGAGAAGGGGAGATGAACACGCCATCGTAGATGAGAGCAGCAAGGGCAGCGCCAATGAAAGGGCCGACCCAGTACACCCAGTGGTTGGTAAAGTCCATGGCGACCAGGGCGGGGCCGAAGGAGCGTCCGGGGTTCATCGACGCGCCGGAGAAGGGAGCCCCCACGAAGATCTGGGCGAGCACGGTGAAACCAATCGCCAAGGGGGCGATCACTCCCACGGTTCCCTTCTTAGGATCCACTGCAGTCGCGAACACAACAAACACGAGAGTGAAGGTGAGCACTGCCTCCATGAGCACGGCGGACCACGGGGTCATGCCGACTCCAATGGCGTGGCGCGCGACATCCTCACCGGTAGTAACTATCTTCAACACCCATGCGCCTGCATATCAATGGCATCTCAGTTTGTGGGTTCCAGATTCCTCGATCAGCTCATTCCCTAACCAATAGCTACTGAAGAGAAAACCGTCAAGCTCACACTACATATCAAACAACTCGTAATCGCAAAGCTCGCCGATTAAATACGCATTGTATCTGTAACCAGTCAACACTGAACTAGACACTAAAGTAGGGTGATGCTCAAAGCCATTGCAAATCACTAAATCCGCTGTATTAAGCCAAACAAGTTTTACGAATTGAGCAACGACGCGAATCTCGATTTGGTGCCACCAAATTTACATCGCAATTGGTGAAACACTTTCAGTCGTTCTTGAGAAAGTAAAATCAATGCATACAAAATACGAGGTGGATAGGGAAGAAACTGATTCATTACCTGCGGCAGCGCCCAAGAGCTGGGCGATCCAGTATAGAACGAGACGGATGACGGTGATCTTCCCAGCAAGGGCGAGGCCCAGCGACACAGCAGGATTGATGTGCCCTCCACTGATATTGGCAGTGGCCGATACCAGGACCGCAATCGCGAGGCCGTGAGCAATAGCGATCACTAGCAAACCCGCAGCGTCCATGTCACCCGCGTGAATCTTCTCGTAAGACATGACCGATCCGACACCGATGAAGACAAACAGGAACAGGGCGAGGAACTCCGCGAAGGCGCCCTTCAGGGCGTCGGCGCTGGACGCCTCATTGGCCTCGCCGAACGCCACCTTCACCATGGCTGCTGTTGCTGCTGTTGTTGGGCGATGCGAGCTTTCCAAGACGAGGGGAACTGCTGCTGGACTCGGAGCGACGCTGCGATGGAGTGTGCAGTCCGGAGCACTGGCCAAACTCTTATACGAACAGTCGACAAGACAAAATACACATACAGCTAATTCCGCAGCATTTGCAATACCCTACGTTTAGTCATGTAAGTAATGTATAATCTACATGTATTAAAACTACCTTTTTTTGTAAAATTTCAAGCATGCAACACATTGCTTTTGATAGCTGTACAGGCTTCGGAGGTGATACAGCGAGGTGCACTAATCTCTTCTAATTGAGTCACTAATTTGAGTACCTAGTCATTATTTTTAACTAATTGTCCAACTCATTCAAAGTGGCATTAGGTCTAACCAAGTCCTCCAGCTGCAGGAAGAACATGGACACTATGTCAGGTTCCCCTATATGGAGCTCAGCTTTGACCCGGATTGCACGTGTATGTTCCACAGGGGCTATTAGGGGATCTAGCTGGCAGGGTATCGACCCCCTCTAATTCTGACTCATCCATCTAGCTGGCAGAGCTTCTGCGCCGCCTACTTGTCTTCCCATATGGTTGGCATTTGAACGCCTACTGCTCAACACTGATTCATTTCATTCATTCAGTTGGACAGATATCGTTCGTCAATCGTCCCATGGTGAATTGGTCCTTGATTAGTGAACAGTCCAGGATAGCATCCTACGTGGTGGCCGCAAGGTCGAAAGACTGACGTGGAATGCCAGCTCATCGACCTGTCACCTGGGATTCGTCCACGTAGACATCACAAACAGCCAAGTAAGAGCCCAGGCCAAGTGCTCGTGGGACAGGCTTTCCTTGGATTCTAAGCTAATTTGCTACTTCCGAAAGATGTCGCTGGAAAGGATCTTTGCCTGTCGTCTGCAGGTCTTAACTCACGATAATGTAATTTTCATTAGTTTTCTGACACACATAATTTTCTTGCTTAATCATGCCTTTCTGGATCTCGATCAAACCCTGATCAGCTCTAATACTGATTGCTACGGGAATATCTCGAAGTTTCAGAATACCTCAATCACAGCCCAACTGAGGGTGATATGCTTACCGAGAGTTAACTTAGCGTAGCTTATCAACCCACTGGGAAATCGTCTTCGAAGATGTAATTGAGATTATCCATGCACAAGGACATGAGGAAGATAGTTGCGAGACGGGCTTCTGGCAAATTACTGAGGTTCCAGGCTTTGTGAACATGGTGACCGAGGAGAGTGTATTTGGACGATTACTGGACCATTCCAGTGCAGGTGGCGTGAGATTACAAGATTGTGAGCGGATTATTGTGCTGACAGCATGTGAAACCAATTTTGTACTTTCGGAATACAATTATTTTCTGGAGGTCACATCTTCGTACAAGACTAGATAACGAAGGATGAGCCAGACGTTGTACAATTGGAATTAGCTATTTTGACCCAGTTTCAGTTCACCGAATCTTGATTATTCTTTTTCAGCAAAAGCACGCTTCGAGAGTGAACTGATGGAGGACAGAGAATCAGGAACGTACTCAGAGTTTTTCCGAAGGCCAAGCATGAAGAACGAAGATGTAGTTCCATTCTGTAGTTTGGGGGCACTGGACAAAGACAACAGAAAATGACTTTCTCAAAGACAATCACACCCGACAGTGATCACATGGGCAACTGACACCCAAGTTACATGTCGACAGTGGGATTCAAACCCACGCCCTTTCGGCCCAGTACCTGAGATTGGTGCCAAAGACCAACTCCGCCACATCAACGGAAGAATACAACTTTCAAGACAAGGTCTATTGTCTGATACACCACTAGCCCTATCCTTTCCCAGGAGAAAGTTTTACATGAAGAACTGCATATGTAGGGCCATTGCTCAGTCCTACACATTGAAAAATGTTAAAGCTAAACAGCAATAATCTTGTAACTAAACGAGCTATACAGAATCTAAGCTAAACCATTGTGCCAACTTTTACTACACAATTAATCATAGTATGAAAGAAACAAAATTGTGGTCAAATGAAGACGACGAAGAGTTCAGCTTCAAGAGAAGACTGGGGATACTTCGGGATAAAATATCAATTTCACCAACATAAGTTACAGTTACAAATATATAGCTTGTGAAAGCAATCGGGAATGCTCTTTAAATTCTCCCGGATAGCTCGACTGCATCGACGCCCCTCACATGACATGTGGATTAGGACCAGAGGACTTGATACAGCACTCCTGAACTCAACGTACACAAGAGAGATTGTTAATGTCCACGCAGTGAAAACAATCCGGCTCAAGACACTCAACAGAAAGTGGACGACGAGGAGTAGTCAAGGACTTCAGAAATCAGCATGGCTACTGCCTTGGAAAGGTTGTTAGTTCCGAAGAGTGAACTTGTCGAAGCGGGTGTGCAGAATTTCGGACCAGTTATCGTGCAAGTTGGAGCCCTCCGGGGCATTGTCAAACAAGGCAGATTATGTGAAAATGGAAAATTGGAGTGGCGAGGAGTTTTGCTCAGATGAGACTGTCTGAATCATCCTGGATGAGTCACGGACTCCTGCACCTTCTGGGGTAAAATTCACAATGATGTTTGGTTCATACTTTTGACTTCGGAAAGTCGTTGATCAAGACTCAGTAGATAATAGTGAACGCTGTTAGCGCAGATGGGACATCAGATTATGGGTGGTGATCTTTTTAGAATGGTCGGCAAGGCTTGTCAGCCAATACGTTGAACGAGACCTTTCTTTGAATCGTCATAGTCCCTTGTGCATGAAGTTCAACTCAAGGATACACCAATTGGCGCTGCCGCTGTGATGTCTCCAGACAGAGTTACTGTGGATTTCTACACTACTTACCAAATCCAGTTTTCATATTTCCCACATTATTAGTAATTATTAAACGGCATGAAGAGAATAATTTGAGGTTTCCTAGACAAGGGAATTGGCCTCTCCAGCTCCCATTCTGCCCGAAAATTTTACATACTATATAACCAATTCCGGTTGAGTGAATAATGGGAACTTCAAAACACTTGCAATCTGAAACGAGAAAATAAGACTGCCAGGAACCTACAGTCAATGAAAAAATGCACGACGTTCTGATAATGACGACCAACATAGCTTGTGATCCATTGGACGGAGCGAGACTTTAAAGCACATGGCCTTTCTCCGCGTCAAATCTCCACAAGGCACATGAATGTTGACGTGACCACCAGTGAGGACATCAGAGTTAAGATTCTCAGCACATCATACTCAGGCGAACGAGACCTTAAGTAACCTCATCATCGTCCGCCTTACAATGCGAACCAAAACAATGTATATAAAAGAATATTCAGGGAGAGGAATTCGACATGGATTCCTTCCCACCAGAACTTGTATTCTTCGCTCTAGATTCTAAGTCACTAAACCCTATATACCTGGACAAGCAGTATCGTCGATAACCATCGACTACACTCAAAAATGCTCTCCAATGACACTATGCGTAAGGTAAGATAAAGACCCCAAGAATCTCGAAACCTATAACTCCACAACTACGCGACGCAGGACCATGCCTGATGCAGGGAGAAACAGTTCCAAAAAATGGAGTAATGAGGTGAATCCTGAATGGTTTTGTAGTGGTCGTGTGAGGCCGCCGTCGCCACTTCAACGGGCTAACGGCGATAAGGATTGTAAACTTTGAAATTTCAAATCTCTGCGCTGGAAGAGCCGTTCGATGATTCATCGGACGGTGCAGGGTTGGACTCGATTTATGCAATTAGGTCTTCAACCTACGCACCTGATCCTTTTAGGGTTTCTCTCTGAGTTGGAGCAAATGACCCTCGAGTGATCTGTTAATCACAGAAATTACTGTGAAGATATTTTTCGGGTAAAATTATGTGAGATCCTATTCATAATCTTTTCGTCCTGATAAAGCAAAACCTAAAATGTTGTAGTTGTTAAAGGTAAAATTCAGTTTTGTTTGCTGATAGAGTTAGTTTTTATAATTCATTTGTGTGTGTATGTGTGTGTGTTTATGTGTATAAATTTATATACATACACATGTACGTACATGTAATTATTTGTTTTTGTCTCTGCCTTTCATTGCACAATGCTGGCCAATTTTCATTTCTTTTTAATTGAAATAAATGTAATGAACTCCATTCAATGTCTTTCTTTTGTAGCATTTCTTGGTTGATTCTTTGTTTATTTGTTTTTAATGAACTCCTAATGATATTACTTTGTCTTTAAACATGTTAACTACTATAAGTATCTTTCCTTTTCAAAGAGATAAAAAAATTGGTTTTGTATTATAAACAAGAATCTAACAAGCATACTCAAATATTTTGTCGAATTGCCAGGTTTTGAAGCAATCATCGTTTGAAGTTGTTTTAAACATTGACATATTATTGATCCAAATAAACACTATCACAATGTATATAACAATGCAAAATTGTAGAAGCAAAACCATAAACTTGCATTGTCAACTATTTTCAATAATAATAATAATAATAATAAGCAAATATATATATATATATATATATATATATATATATATAATGACATAATTTATATCTCATAATATTACTAAAAATTATACCAAAAATACCAAAATAATTGTATCAAAATCACTATAAACATATGCCTATTCACAATTTGTAAAAATATGTTATTCTTTTGTGTATAGCACTCAAAGTAACAATTGTGTTGTTGTGTTATTGCACTTTCACATGTGTTACTTTTTCTCATTGTATATTGCTTTGTTTTGTGTCAAAATATTTTTCAAAATGATGTCTATTCATTAAATGAAAACATATGTAGAAATATATATATATATATATATATATATATATATTAGCTAGAAACCCATACTATTGAGCACCACGATCTCTCAACACATCCATCCATTCCCTTGTTCATCTATGCTCCTTTGTTCTCATGTTCCTTAAGTTCCTTGAATTCTCTACTTCACAACCAATCAAAATACTTCTTTTGTTTCTTTGTGTTATATCCAAGTTATTTTATAGATATATTTACATATATATATATATATATATATATAACTAATTATTCTATAATTTCAACATTATAAATGAAAAATAAATTCATTACACTAATATATAAATATATACTTGTTATCAATTTTGACATAGAAATTATAATAGAGTCTTTTATTGTCAAATTTTATACAAAACCAATTGAATTATATATCAACAAGCCTTCAAGTATTAGTTCATAAACCTTAAGGTACAATATTCAATTAAATGTTTACATATTATAAATAATAATTTGTGGTCCATTGAAAAGTTAATTAAAAATTTAGGAAAAAGTTAAATATTTATTTTTTATTTACAAAATCAATAGATCTTTAAGTTTTTAAAATATCTAAATCTAGTTGAAATGTAACTATTTTATATTATCAAAGTTGGATTTGAAATGATTATCAATTTACACTTTTTAAATTAAGAAAATTGTTATATAATTGTCTAAGTCAGTTGTATATAAAAAAGAAACTATATGTACTTACAAACTATACATGCATAAATGATGATTTTATTTAATAAAAAAAGAAAATCAGCATGTTATCTAAAAACTTACGAAGATTAAATAGAAGTTTAGGTATTCACTATTACAACTTAGTTAGGACATTTTAAAATTTTAATTATTATATAGTTTTGAGATTTCATTTATTTATACATTATATTTTTTTAATATATTTTAAAATTAAAGTTTCATTTGTTACACTTATAGAATTATTTATTTATTTATTAGGTAATAGGATGTAAATATATACTATTAAAATATAATAAAAGAATATAATTAAAAAAATAGAATAATAAAAAAACCTAAATTTTTACTAATGCAACCTATATGTTTAAACCATCATTGTATTCTTTCAATCTCATCTCCATTCTTAGCCGTTCCTTTGCTTCAAACCATTGTCTCATTCCTACTTGTTCTCCTATGCACAACCATTGTCTCATATCCAACGGTTCCTTTATTTCCAACTTTTGCCTCATTCTCAACTACCCGTCTCTATTTTTAGTAATGATTGGGAATGGAAGGTTGAGAACAAATATAGCGGCTACAAAGGTGCAATGATGGTTAAAATAGAGTGGATTGTTTAATAAAATTTAGGTTGCTTCATCATTTTTCTTTTAAAATAAAAATAAAAACTAACTAGACTTGCAACAAACTTTAGAGTTTGAATATTATGTTTCTATTAATTTGAAACTATTTATCATTCATAAATCAATTATCATAAAAAATATAAGTACAATTTAAAAATTTTTTTAGCTTTTTTAGATTTTTTTGTCTTAGAAACTTTACATTTGTATTATTATTTTTATTTTTAAATAAGACAAAATTATAATCAATATAAAATAACTAATGTGTATATAAGTTTTAAATAAATAGATCATGGATTTTTTTAGCAAATATCATTTCAATACTATTATTGTAATTTTTTAATAAAATTCTAATGCTAACAAAATATATTTTAAAGCCAATTTTTAAGTTTGTATTCTTTTAATTTTTATCATAACCTTATATAAGTATAATTTTAACTATAATAATTTTTATAAATATTTTTTTAATCTAAATCTATATATTAAGATTGCTTGAAGAGACAAGTGGTGGCTTTCATTCATTCCATGCATTCCTCTTGTTTTTCATCAAAAAACTTAATGTTATCTAGAATTTGAAAGAAAGCAAAAACTTGACTAAAACTCAAGCAAATATAAACTACTTGGACAGTAGTGGTTCTTATTTGATGTATAGATTAGTCTTTGTTTTCATCATTGCTAGAGTTTAATAGAACATGAAATGATGAAGTTCAACCGAAATGCGGCCATTTAATTAAATGTGAACAGATTCAACAATATATTATTTGTTGCATGTAAAGAGTTACACTATTTTCATGGTTGCAATTTGATTTTGCATATTTTTCTTTGTCAATCTTAGCATTGTGATTGCAATGATATGAGCCCCATTTATAACTATGATAATGATGGACATATTGCAAGTGATGGTACTTGATCACGAGTTCATAGGAGGGCCATCTCTTTTATTTTCATTTTTTGCAACTAAATGCAATTGAAGGTGAAGTTTAATTATTGAAAAAGAAGCGGACAATCAAACACCAACAAAGAGAGGTGCAAGTTGTGATGGGCAATGAAAATACAAATGGTGATGAGGCATAGTCTAATGCACATGCTATTGTGTGCTACATTGTTTCCAACTCAATGGTGTTGGAAATTGGTTGAATATGTTAGTTGCTTATTTATTTTTTATGTTATATTTGGATATAAGGTAAAAAGATATTCTAGTAAGCAGCATTTGGAGTGAAGTGGTTGTTTGACATTAATATAGAGGTTGTTTGTTATAACTGTTAATTGTGCATTCTCCCATGTGATAGTGCTAAAAACATTGTCTTGAGTCATGGTATACAAACTAGTGAAATTTTCTATTTTGGAACTGTTTTGCTTCAAATCAAATTCCAATGTAAATATTATAGATCAAATTAACTATCACCAAATTATTTTATCACACTTTAAATGATGTTTTAAATAAGATGAAACTCCATCCACAATCTTACATATATCAAGTATATCATTTATATTATATTATTTTATATTATAGGTACTAATTTTGTTTGTGCATTACTAATTTTGTTTTAGTAGCAATAGAAGGCAAAGCTAGAGGTTTCAATTTCTTTATTTCTTTAGATTTACAATTCTTAGTTAGATTTATAGGCATTGCATTCAAAATTTGAATTTAAAATTTGGTATAGATAGGATGATGGATGAAAGTTGATTGACTTCTATATATTGAGGTTGGTTTTGTTATTGTTAATTGAGAATTTAGATGTACAATGTTTGGCGGATAAGTTGTTCCAACACAAATAAAATCATTTAGATGTTTCAATTGTTGTAGGTAACGATACCTAGTCATAGGAAGTTTATAAGGTTCATTTTTTTTTTTTTCATTTTTTTTTTTTTTTTCTGCAATTCAGGATAAATGCACAATTGAATGCAAGGTGTAAGTTGTGAGAAAAGAAGAACGATAGGCATATTGCATTATAAGAAAAAAAACATATTCTAATTTATTCTAATTAGATTATTTTTCAAATTCAAGCATGTTGCGTATTATAAATTTAGTCAATTTACAGCAAGGATGGAGAATTAATATTTTTTACTATATCGTCTTTGCTATTGCAAATTTTACATGTTTCTGTTTGTCAATCTCAACATTGTAATTGCAATGACAATTTTTTTTTTATTTATTTTTTCATTTTTTATTTCTTGATTGTTGAAAGATATTATTGATGAGCAATGGAATAAGAAATTATTTGAAATTATACTAGGAAATTGTAGTGAAGCAAGTGTTGAGAGTAGATCTAGAACTTACTTGAAAGTGCTCTAAAGTAGACATTGTTTAAAGGTCAAATGGAAATGTTAATTAAATTACATAGCCGAGAGGGAAATTTGAGCAATTATTATTTTTTAATACTTTGGAGTATAGGCATGAAGACTAAAAAGGATGATTGAAAATTTTGTACTTGATTTATTTGATTCTACACTGCATGCATTTCACATACTTTGATCATCATCTTTCTCTCTTCTATAATAGAAACTAGGATATCATTGTTAAGCATGGATTTGTATAGAAATTTTATAAGAACTAAGGTCATTTTGTTATTTTATAATTTTATATTAATAGTTTTTATCTATATAGTTATATTTATAGTATTTATAGTTTTCATATTATATTTATTATATTACATCTATATATTATATCTTCATTATAAACAAAATTCTTCAAAAAAAAGTTTTATTGGAATTTTAGAATTATTATCAACTACAATAAAAATTACCATATAAAAATTTAATTGTAGGAGTTTTATTTCTTGCTTTTATATGAATTTTTTTATATTCAACTTCATATATATATATATTTATTTATATTATTTATTAAATAAATAATTAAATATTTATAAATTTTATTATTCATTTTGATTTTAAAAATATAACATTTTGGAAAATTTGAGCTTTTTATTGTGAAAAGTTGTTGTAAAATTATGTGTAATTGTGATCAATATGGATGCATAAATGTATAATATTTTTATTAAAGCACTATGGTATTATAATTTGACTAATTAAGATATATCTGCTCATTTGTATTTTACGTGTATTATGTAATTTTGCTAAATTACTTGAGTATGAAGGTTTTATTGGAATTTTATGGAGGTAAAATTTTGACACTTACAAACTTATTCCAATTATCTAGTGGAATCTGTGCCATTATAAATGGTCCAACTTTAATAATGAATTGAAGAGAAATTGCTAAACAACAACATAGAGAATGTGAGAGAGCATAAAGAAAAGCTGAAATAGAAAGTTCTAAAGCCATATATAATCTAGAGAGGATGAATGTTTTGTGTCGTCATTGTAACGCACTACATTGATTTGATGAACATTTAGTCTAATTACCAAGGGAGTTGCCATTATTTGGACAATGTTGTTGTCAAGGAAAAGTTTCTCTACCATCTCTACTTCCTATGCATTTGCTTTTTAGACATTTATTTGAAGATAAGAATGCAAGAGCAAGGGAGTTCCAAAAAAATATCTCTTAGTAAAATATTGTACATGTGTTTATGTCCTTAGGTGCAAATATTGATCAATTTGTGCTTCAAAGAAATATTCCATGTAGTTTAGAATAAATAGAGAGTTAGAGCATTTAACAAGAGGGTTGTTATCAAAAGAAGGTATTGACCCAACTTATGTACAACTCTATATTCATGATACATCATTTGTACAAGATAGAAGAATGAGACATAATCGTGGTTTATTGAGCCAAAATATGTGGAAAATTAGAGAAGTTTTGATGAAAAATAATCTATTTATTGGATTATATAGGCAAGCACATGAGATACTATCTCATGCATAAAATAAAGGAATAATGTAAGTAGATCTTATTGTTTCTTTGCACGTTATAAATGAAAGGAATAGACATCAACATAATCTTTTCATTACTTTTTAAAAAATTGCTATTATATTGCCTAAAAATGGATCATAGTATAATACACTTTGTGATATTATTATTCACCTATGTAATAACGGGCTATTAGAAAGGATTCATGAAGCTCATCCTACTTATTTGCACACATGTTGAATGTACACACACATTGTATATAATAATAGTGGTGTATTTGAATTCTTGATAGTTGCATTATTATTGACTAATATTTCTATTTGCCACTTGCCAGATTGGAAATGATTCAAACTTATTGCTTGATAATGTAGTTATCCTTCCTAATCACATGATTGTTGATCAATAATTAATGTCTTTAATTGGTGTTGTTTATCCAAGGCTGATAGAAGACAATGTAGTAAATAATGTCTTCTTAAGAGATAGAAACATTTTATCAACATGGAATGATGATGTAGAGATTATTAATGAGAAGATTATAGCCATATTTTCTAGAGTAGAAGAACAAGAATATCTACACGCCAATGAAATTATTGAAGATGGTGTTGACAACAATAATGTTTATCTAGTCAAATTCATCAAGTTGCTTAATCTATCTAGAATGACCAAATGATGGCTTTGTCTTAAGATTGAGACTTTGATGATGCTACTAAGAAATATTGCTCCTTGCTAGGAACTTTGTAATGGAATCTAATTGATAATTACATGACTAATGGATTAAATTTTTGAAGCGAGAATTCTTAGAGGAAAATTTGTTGGAAATTTGATATTCATTCCGTAGATTACATTAACTTCTACAATAAAAGAACTTCCATTCATTGTGAAGAAAAAGCAATTTCCAATCCATCTTGCATTTGTAATAATAATAAACAAATTCTAAGAACAATTGGTGAAGCACGTTGGTTTGGATCTATGACAACTTATTTTTTTTCCATGGTCAACTTTATGTAGCACTCTCTCAATGCACTTCTTCTTGTTCTATCAAGATTCTTCTTCCTAGAAACGACAATTTAAATTCCATACAAAATATTGTTTTTCCATAAGTTTTAATCAGATAAATATTAGTAATTTTTTTTATATTTTTTATTTTAATTAATTAATTTATTGACTTTAGTACATCTTTGAATGTCTTAACATACTTTATGATTTTTTAATGTAATTTAATGTTTTTATTTATTTATTTATTTTCACAAGTAATTCCTTAAAAAAATTAACTTCTTTTTTTGCATATTGTTTGTGACACTGGAATGGGTTTACCTATCCTACTTCATAGCTGAAAGCTCAATTGTATATTTTATTTCTTTTTATTTGTATTGTGTCTAAAAGATTTGATTAATTATTTGGGGTTATTAATTTTCAGAAGGAAATTTTGATTAATTATTGAAGCTTATTAGTTATCAGTGAAATTAATTATTAGAGAAACGCTGTATATATATTTTGTGGGTGTTCACAGTAAACATGATGGGCGGCTCAGCAAGACAACTCACCGCGTGGGGGAAAAGCCCCAAACCCAAATTGCTTTGCTTTGGTTCCGATCCCCAAAGCTTTGCGGTGTCCGTGAAATCGTTGCGACTAAATAAGCGGTCTGCTGATTTGGATAAGAAGCGCTATTTTGGTTGCGGGCGAAGGAGTTGTCGTAGAGCAAGACGGGATTTCAAATTCGGCGATGTGGGTGCACACCCACGATTCAAAAGTATGCTCCACGCAAGGTTCGAAAGGATCCCTTTAAAGGCACCGAGTGAAGATATTTTCGGCGCTTTTGGCGAAATTCGTGCGAGGGAACGAAACCCGTTGATCAGATCGCTCGCGCATCGCAAAGCATCCTCGCATGAAGACCCACGATAAGCCCAGGAAGTGAGCTCACAGCCCGAATCTTCTGCGTCGACTTCTCCATCCATCATCAACCGATCATCAATCGAGCATCAATGCCGATCGCCGCATCGGACCCCTCAACTCGTTGAAGATTTTTACAACACGTGCTCCATGTCCAGCTTAGTCACTCATTTTGATCGTCACGTTACGAATAAGGGTTGCGAGGGGAAAATCTGAACGAGGCCCATGCCGACGGTGATTGATTCCACCCCCTGAAGCTCCGGTCAACCTGCAAGGATTTATTGGGAGGCGCCACCGCCATGCTAAAGACGGGGGAGCAAGTAGGGAAATTGCAGGGAACGGGGATATTATTCATAGAACTGGGAACTGTCATTGGGTCTTCGCAGCTAAACCCGGAACGGTCCAAATGCCCACCCGTCTTGGTTGTTGCTCCGCTTTTTTATTCCCCTCCCCTCCATCAAGCCTCGTTTCTACGTAGTGGGTTTGATCGATCTCCACGTTTTCGTTGGTTACGCCCTCGCTTGGCCACTCCCGCACGAAAGCGGCCGCCATATGTTGCTTCATCTTGGCTAAACAGTGCCGCATTTCTGATTCGGTTGTTGCAACCCTCGGGCGTTGACGTTGGAGCCGTCTTCGGACTTGATAGGTGTTTCTTTGATTTCCCTGAGTTTAGAGGTGCGCAGTCAAGATTTTCTCCGCAGAGGTTGTTTCACAAAATACTTCCTTGATTGAGACCTATTCTTTGTTGCGAGGATATATTTTTGCTGTGAGTATCCTAGTTTTCGAAGTCGCTTGCACAACTTAAAAGCAGATACTCAAAAAAATTCTGATTGAAGCTTTTGGATTTTTGTCGTTTGCTTTTTGCAATGAACTGTTGCGGATCTTTAAGAGTAGTGGTCATGTTGCTGGTTGTGTACGTGCTGTTTGGGCCTCTCAATTCCGTCTTTTCATTCGCATGAAGCACTTGGAGTTCACATGGTGATCGATTTTGTGATAGAGCTGGAGATCGCTTGAGCGATTCTTGAAAAATCCGTTTGCCCAGGGAATTACAGTTGGACTACGCTTTCGTGCTCTGGAATTTGGTCGATTCAGATCGCAAATGTTCTATCCTTTTAGGAGCGGGGTAGTTCCACATGCATACGAAGCAAGCACAGGTCTAGGCAGACGTTTTGCGAAAATGGGATTTTATGGAGAGAATTGTGGCGTGATCTTTATGTGCCCATGGAAACCCCCGTGTTCTGCTGCAATATTCTATGAGAAATGCAAAAATAAAAATAAAAATAGATGGGTTTAGCATGTAATGAGCGTTGTTTTCGGCCTGGTATCCGCCGTAATACACTGGATCGTTTGCAGCTTTCTTGTCGTCAAAGATGATGAGAAGTCTAGTTCGTTAACCTCCCTACTCTTAGTAGAGTGTATGCAGTACTTTGAAAGGAGGATCTGGGTCCCATGGTAAATTGAAATCAAGGTTACGAGCAGTATTTGGTTTATTTGTGGTCTGTTTGCAGTTTATGTTTCTATCACTAGCCGGTCGTAGGCAGGTGAATTATGAAGTCTATTTGCTCCTCCATCTCATTTTGTTTAGAGTTTTTCTTTATTCCTACAACTAGCTCTCACTATTTTTGAATTTGTCATCCACCAGGTTTTGAGGCTGCCACAAGGAAATACTAGGCAGTCGTCTTGATCTTGAAAAACTGAAGAAATGATAGCAGCTTCAGTTGCTTCGGGCATCTGCAACTTGGCTCCAACTTCGCTCCATCTATCTAACTGCCGTGAGCGAGATCTAAAGAAATCCAGTGTTCGTCGACATGGTTTTCTTAATTGGATGCCCAAGAAAAGGAGGATTTTTGATGCAATAACATTCAAGTTGCATCACTTGGAGCAATCAGCGTTCAGTGTTATTGAGTTTACCAATCGAAGATCACCAAAAGCAGCTGGTGTGAAGTTAAGTGGTGGGAATACTGGCTGTATAAAGGAGAATGCTTCATCACAGTGTGTGTCAACTTTGGGGCAGTTGAGACAAATTTCGATTGTCAAGAATTTCCATAGAAGACCTTCTATGAGGAAGGTTAGGAAAAGTATGAACAGTCCCGTAGTTATTCCACCCGGTTCTAGAGCAGTTGGGTCCTGTAATTTGTCGACTCTTTTTGAGAAAACTGTGAAGCAGAAGTTGCATCATAGACAGTCGGAATTATCAGAGAATCGGCGCATGGATTTGGACACTACACAGGATACGAGGAAGCAGAGTCACAGGGCGTTTCTTGCAGCATTGGGAGCAGCAGGTTATGTTGTTTTGTCGCTCAAATCTTCAGCATCTGCTGCCGAGCTTCTCAGAGTTAATTTTTCGGATCCCGTCGCATCCACAGCGGTCCTGGAAGTGCAGTTTACAGGAAGCATGCTGAGGCAGCTTGAGGGGGAGATACAAACACAGCGGCAGTTATGGAGGATTACAAGTGTTAGCGCAACTGCTCCGCCAGTAGGTCAAAGTCAACAATCTCAGAGCATTGACCCAGTATCAGTGCAAGAATCCAGGAATGCGGTTCCTGAATTGATGGAGAATTCAGAAGATCCGTTTCAGGCTTGGTTAAAAATACAACAAGAATTAGAGCTTGAGGGAGAGATTTCGGCTGTGCCTTTAACTCGACCAGTGGCCCCTCCGTCGCCGGTAAAGAAGGTCGTAGCTGCGTCAGTGGCTGTAGCGGTGGCTGGGGCAGCGTCTACGGCAGGTCGAGCGGTTGCTTCGACTGGGGGTTCTGCTGTAGTAACATCCTTGACAGTGTTGCAGCAGTCTCCTCTTTCTGTCTCAAGATTTCTGGCTAGAGTAGCTCAACACTTGGGAGGTGGAAGTGTGGCTGGTGCAGTTGGGGCAACGGTTGTATATCCCTTAGACACCATCAAGACTCGAATGCAAGCTCAGAACCTGGTACGTGATGGAATCATGATTTAATCTTATCATGATTTTGCGTATGCTAAGTAACTTGTAAAGATACAACGAAGTTCTACACGCTACTTGGCACACACAAAATGTCAAACCTAGATGTATAAATTGAAGCTTTCAGATACTTACGAATGTCTTGTAACGTTTACAGGATGGTGATGAGCCCCAGTATAAAGATGAGATTGATTGCTTCAAGCAGCTAGTTACCAAGGAAGGACCGGCGTCTCTCTACAGCGGTCTGGTGCCACAGCTTCTCGGCATAGCTCCTGAGAAGGTATTGCGTTTATTTTAATTATTTTTGGCAGCTGATCGTACTTTTTACTTTTGGATAACTGACTTGATACTTGTGATGCCACTATATACAAGAGTATTTGGTGTCCATTGATTTGTGGGAAACACCGCAGGCTATGAAGCTGACAGTGAACGAGATATTGTTGAGTAATCTTGAAACAATGATGCCTGGTTCACGACTATGGGCACTAGAATTTATTGCTGGAGGGGGTGGAGGTGCTTCTCAGGTATGACAACCGAAGCTTTCAATTAAACTCACATGGAAATTCTCGTGATACGAATGATGCAACCTCCATTATCCTCTCAATCCAAAGTTTTGTCTCCCTTTCATGCGTGTATGTTGGAATACGCTGATCCCTACCTGTGGCACTTAGCACTGAGGCTGCCTCGATGTTTTTTGTAGGTGGTATTCACGAACCCAATGGAGATAGTGAAAGTGCGGCTTCAGACTCAGAAAGAGGGTGCACCCAAGAAAACCTTCTGGACCATAGTGAAAGAGCTCGGAGTCGCAGGACTTTATGAAGGGGCAGGTGTCACCCTAGCTCGTGATGTTCCAAGTTCAGCCATCTTCTTTGCTATTTACACTCTGTTACGTCAACTCTATCCTGATCAAAGCTTCCTCGCCGGAGCTATCGCTGCTATACCTGCCACCATCTTGGTCACTCCAATGGACATCATAAAGACGAGACTTCAGGTATTTTTATGGAGAGTTGGCTCACAACTCTTCTGGTGTCTGATTTTGATTTTAGTTTTCAGGATGCATGTACACGTAGTAAGTTGCGCCATAGAACCTTCCTTGCAAGTAATAGGAAAACTCATTTTAATTTTTTTTACAGAAAGAACCTGCGCCGGGAGAGCAGCAATACACAGACTGGTGGGAATGCTTGCAAGATATTGTAAATAAAGAGGGGCCGCAAGCCCTTTTCAAAGGCAGTCTCCTGCGTGTTTTACGAACTAGTCCCCAATTTGGCATTACACTGATGCTGTATGGGATTCTGTGCGAAGGTTCATAAGCCCATGGAGTTTGGCTTATTCGAAGCAGGTAGTTAAATTGGTGTCCTCATTCATTCTTTGGTGAAGGTTGTGTGTATTCAGGCTCTGTGATTGGAGCTCTGAATCGAGTGTTCACAGCTGCTTACAGTCATCGGGTATGTATATATTTATACATATATTTATAGAGAGAGAGAGAGACCAAGCTCTCCTGTGCCATATGGAGAGGATGCGTCTATTACATTGAAATCATTTGAAAAATATTGAAGGATTCTTTGAGTAGGCAGTGGCCCTTGATGGTGTACGATACCTCAATTCTTTTGTAAATTATTTCTCCATTTTGGAAAAAAATTGTAAGTTTTTACTGGTTTAATTCTCATTTTTATTACGTTTCGCTTCAATACAAACATCCAGTTTGTAAATGTTTCCCTTAGTGACTTCTACTAAGGGCTCATTCGATTGTCAGCGAATGGTTGGAACATACCTGATGCGTTCCTGAATTAGAGAGTTAGGCTTTCATTGGGTTTGCAGGATAGTGCCATTTCTGCTGATTTTTGGAGTGCAAATTCGAAGTATACCCTCGAATCTAGAGCCGATGATCTTATCGCCATGCTGTTTCCAAACAGTCAAGTATCTCGCAGTCATGTGAGCAGAATAGCAGAACGATCCAAATAACAAGCGCCACTTCAATTTGCTGACAATTATCGAATATTGTGAAGATTAAATTTTATCATTCCTGGTAAGTATCTGGAAGTTTTGTTAGAACGTACACTCGCGACCTTGAAATCACTCTGAAGTCACAAGGCCCCATCACCGCCTGGGTTGAGCTCCAAGCCTCGATTTCAACTTCTGAGTCAAGGCTAGCATTTCCCCATTGAGCCCGTGTTGTGCTTTGTACTGGGCTAGCTCACCCTAGGGTCTTTGGTATTACATGAGGAGCAACTAAACAGACTGTGAGAGTCTCGGTTAAGCAGACCCTTCTTTTTATTCCGTTGCAGCCCTTACGGATGCGGTGTTTGGATTTTTTTTTTAATTTTTAATTTTTTAATTTTTTAATTTATTTATCAAGTTCTCTTCAAGAGATGAGAGACAGTTTTTACTAAATCAATCCACTCCATCTTCAACTACCATGAAAATAAAAATGAATTCTACATTCATTTCTCCACTATTAGACCATGAAAATAAAAATGACCTCTACATTCATTTCTCCACTATTAGATGTGCAACCAAAGAAAACCAACTACATTCATTATGATTACTTTATTCTTCATTGTTAGTGAGTTGATTGAGTAAAATTTTGGATCTATTTCTATATATATATATATATATATATATATATCATCATAACGAAGTTATTTTCATCTATTTTTTTTAAAAAAATTCTATTTTATATTACAAGATTATTTTTATTATTTTTGTTGTGTTGTCTTATATTTATAATTTCTTAGATTATGGATTTTAACACAAAAGGTTGCTTATAAGACAAAAATGTACCTCAATTTCAAACTTGAAGTTTAGATCTTTTTTAGATGAATCAATTTTAATAAAAATTTTCTTCTAAGTGTACATTAAGTTTAAATCTATATAGTCTAGTGATTACAAAATATTTTAATCTCTGGACAATGGTATCTATTTATAATTATGTAAATATAAAATAATTTAGAAAGAAAAATACTTTCAACCAATATGCTTATATGGATAAAGCACAAAAATCTATAATTGTAATTTTAAAATTGCTTCTTTAATTAAATTATGGTATATTAAAAAAGATCCTAGAAGCCATTTTGAATAAACATGATGTTGTCTATTTAAAAAAGTGAAACTATAGACATAATTTAAAAAATAAAGAAAATTATTGTAATAAAGACAAAAAGAAAACCAATAGTTCAATTGCTTAAAAAATATAATTTAAGCATAAAAAAATAAAAATGACGTTGTTATGAAGGAAAAAAAGACATAATGTTCTCCACCATTAGAATATGATACAGATTATTCAATCAAAGTCAACTTTTTGTACCATAATATAAAGCCATAACAAGAAAAACTTCATAATTGATTGGACAAATTTTTAAAACAAGTTGTTTTTAATTCTTTTAATATTTTATAATTTTCTAAGAAGGTAATGTCTTCTTAAAAGATATGAATTATTGTAAGAAAGCTACATGAAAGAAATTGTAGATGTTCTTTAGTATCATCTATTGCAAATTTATTTTTCTTAAACCTTTAGTGATGTCACCATGCATCTTTGTAATCTCTTACAATGGATCTTTGTAACTTTTAATTTTTTTAAAAATAAAAATGCTCTATTCTCATCTTTAAATTATTTTATAATATTTTTTTTCTATTTAATTTTTTGTGAAATTTAAATTTTAGATTCTACTTTATACTTTAATAATTTGATGTTTACATTTTTATCATTTCCCATGTATAATTTTTATTTTCTACTATCAAAGAATTATTTTATTTATTTACTTTTATATTTATAGTTCTAAATTATATCAGACTTGTTATTACTTGTAATACATAAGTTATGAAATACAATACATATATTTACAATATATAATATCAATTTCAAAGATACATCAAACATGTATGAATATCATTATTTATTTGTTATTTTATAAATTTAAAGGCTCTTTTCTTATACATAAATGAAGAAGATTAAAAAAAATTTAATTTCTCTCATATAGAAACAATCCTTCACTTGATTCTTTTAACAAGTTGTACATCTAATGTTTTATAGAAACAAACCTTCACTTGATTCTTTTAACAAGTTGTACATCTAATGTTTTATTAGATGTACAATATTCTAATTATTCCAGATATAAAATATTTTTTCTTCTCTATAAATATTTTTTAAAACTAGGTATTAAAATATTAAATAGGTAAGAATATTATTTGTCCAATCAAATTATTAATTCTATCTAAGTTTTGTTATATATTTACGAATAAATAAATAAAAATTAATATTAATAACAACATAAAAATCTATTTTTCTTATATTACATATTATTTTATTTAAAAGTTTTAATAAAAATATTTAATCCAAAAAATACTAGTGACATTAGATAATAAAAAATTTGTTGCACATCTTGATTTATTCAATAGCCTAATTTAGAATTACATTAAATGATGATATGTCCAAGAAAAAGAAAAGAGAAAAAGCATTTAAGACAATGACAGATATTCTTCTATGGAAGAAGCAAGATATTCTAACATTAAAATTGTCTGTAAATGTTTTAAAGCATTCTTTGAAGCTTAAATATGTATTGTAAATAGTGTTATTTTATTATAAAAATAGCAAGAAGTACAAAATCAAAAGAAAAAATTGGTGTCCAAAAAAACTCTAAACTACTTTAAAATTGACATGTTGTATTAAAATATGTAAACACAATATGTAAAACAATATCAAATAGGCTAAAGATTCAAATTTTTATTATAAAATCGAAAATGAAAATATGAATAATGAAATATCACTTATTGTATAAAAAAAGAAAAAAAGAAACTAAAGCATGAGCTACAAAATGCACTTACCATAAATGAATTTATGACATATGAGTGGGAAAAGTTTCAGAAAACCAGGTTCAGGAATGAGAGGAGTGGGAAAGGACGAAGAATATACACATATTCATTAATGGGCCCAAGCGTGTGGCTATGGCGAACTGGAGGGGGAAGGGGGTGGGGCCACTGCAACGAGGGCCACAAACTACTGCAAGTGTATTCAAAGCTTTCCCGAACATCAGTTTGTCATCCGCAGTGCAGCTCTGCCTGACACTTCTCATGAGCCCCTTCGCTGGCTTGCATCTCTCCCAAAAGTAACACAATTAGCTCCGAAGAGTACCCGTGTGAGGGTCTTTGCTTTCTGCACTTTTGTGAAACAAAAAACCGATCTTGAAACTGAGAGGTCTAGAAAGGCCTTTGATTGAATGGGTGTCTTTTGAAGAGACTCGTGGTTTTTGCCATGCTTTTTAGCGATGGTGTTTGGAGTTCCATGAGTGTTTAGTCTGGAGGTGAAGTTTCTGAAGTGGGTTTCTCGGGTACTGCGTTTTGTCACATTGGCGGTAACGCCATGGCTGCAGCAATTAAGCTCAGGAGCACTCCTTGCTGTGCTTCGGGTTGTGTTGCAGACACTGGGGTAGGGTTCTCTGTTAAGAATAGCAAGGCCCAGAGTTTTCTGCAGGTGTGTGGAAGCGTTGGTGTTGGTGGTAATTTGTGTCATGCATGGAGCTGCAAGGGCAGGTTCGGTAGCGGACAGACCGTGCCCTTACCCAACCAAGGTATGAAACTCCCTGTCTTATTCTCAGGATGTCAACAGTGGTGCCAGTGTTTGTGTCAATGTTGCAATAACTCTTTGGACCTCTAGGAGTGTGAGGTTGTGAAGTCGGAATGAAGAACAAACAAGAAATGAAGTAACACGGTGCTGGATTAGTCTGGTTTTTATTGCGATATATAATTGAAGTGGCAAAATATACTGCAGTTGAAACACAAGGTGATGTTCCTGTAGAAGGTTTCGAAGGAAATTGTGTAGCCGCTGATGGCAATAGCGATGAGCTGGGAGTCGAGGAACCAATTTGGATCAGTGGATGTTCGTTTAGCTTACATGATGGCATGGATTTGGTCGTGACTTGGTATGAAAATATTCTGATCAGCAGGTGCGGAAAGACAGAATCGGATGAGGGGGGTAAACGTCACACAGGCAGTTTTGCGTACAAATTCAAAAGATGACACTCTCATGTCTGTTGAAATTCAAATGGATTCTACAACCGCGTGGGTCCTTGACCAGGAGCATTCCTCAAACCAATTTAGCTCGAATTTGAGGGAATCTACCCAGGAAAAACCCGAAGTCGAAGAACTTCCTCAAGAAAAAGCGCTTGTGGAGATTGCTGCTGAAACGGGGAATGTTGAAGAGGGGGCCATGGCAGAGACATCTGATTCGTTTCGTGATGGGAAGAGTTCACTTGGTGCGAAGGGAGGTAACAGTGATGAGTTTCAGGTGATTAGATATACTTCGGCACTCGGGACATTCTTTGCGTAGCAATCTTCGTTATTCGTGTCGGCATTCCTCTCATGTTCCCTAGATTTATTTGGAAATCCATGGTCTATTCGTGATTTTAAGGTCGGTTTGGATCATTCACTCTGACTCAGAAAACTTCCTGTAAAGCTTCCCGTTCACGTGTTTCATTGGGTTTCAGTTGGCTAGTCTCGGACCTACCAACGATGAGATATTGAAGGAAGCGCTAGCTGAGGCGGTCAAAGTTTCACGTGAAAATGGAATTACGTTGGGGCAAAAGCTAGCGTACAATGAAGGCGAGGTGGAGGCACAGGGTGTCGTGATGAAGAGCGTAAAGGCTCCAGGGAGTGGACAGGCCTCGTTTGTGAGGAAAGCCTCGCCCTCTAATGCTCATAAACGCCGGCAGTTTTGGGATAACCTACGAAGCTCTGTCTTCGCTAAAACTTTGCAGAAAGACGGAATGGCGATAAAATCGTGGCTCCTACGTGACGAATCTCGAAACACTGCTCCTATGACAAGCGTGAACAACATATTGGCTAATGACATTGATTTCATGAAGTGGAAGTCCACTCGTGTGGGTCCATTGTTTAGTAAGAAAGTCGGAGAGATTGTTGCTCTGAGGATCATTGAAGATGAGAATGCTACTCCGGGAGCTCTGGGATTCTGGCCCCAACCCTATTACCCTGGTATATTGTCTTGGTCACATGCATTTCTGTGTTTGCTTATGAAATGGCAAGTAGAATTAGTTTATATTTTATGGATGTTCACTCAACATTGTAAAATTCGTGCAGAGTTGCGAGGTAAGGATCTTTTGATCGCTGATTTCAAGACGTTGGAGAGTTATTCGAGCTACATACAGAGTGTGCTTCAGAACTTCCAAGTACCGCTTCAAACCAACTATGACCCTGATCAAGTTGCAGCCTACTTCCATCGCCGTCCACATGTCCTCCTCTACCGTCTCCTTGAGGTACATACTTTATAGCATTGAGAACAAACGGTTACAAGTTCCTTCTTGTGTAATTAGACATCTGCAACGTGAGTTTTATATTATGCTTTAGGATAGGTCCCGTATCCGTCTATATACTGGGCTTCTCTGAGAATTTGCTGGGGTATTGGGACGATGCTCTGTTGTAAGGTTGGCGTTGCATTTGGATCAGTAGCGTTGGAACGAGGTGTACGGATGTCAACTTTAAAGAAAAACAAATTGGGTGGAATCTCAGAGAAAGATAACACTGAAGTCACTTTAAAGACAGCTGTGTCTTTGAAGCAAGCCTTGCTTGGTCTTGGCAGCACTTTCATCAAAGGTTCACTCTTAATTGTGTCTACTCTCCTCTTTCTCACCAATGAAGGACTTTCACGGGTGGGATATCTTTCGTTTGTTTAGAGTCTTCTACTTCTATGGCTTTGAATTTCTTAACCTTAAGTTTTGACTTTGTAGTGCACCTATGGAGCAGTTAATTGATACGATGACATCACTGTTTGCTGCTATACTTTTCTACACAAGTTTGATTTGGGGACCTAGAACTAATGTCAGATAGCGAGAGTGTGTGACCTGTTACATGATCAGAGTTTTAAATGAATATGGAGTGACTTAATGGATTTTGTGAGAAAGGACAAAGATATTCGTAAAAGACCTTCCTGTCGCAACCACTAAAATGTTATTATTGTAGTAATGATACAAATGTCTCTTATTTTCTCCTGAGTGAGTTAATCATAGCCTAGGCCAAGCTCTAAGACGCAAGGTCTATAACTCTTTTCGTTTGAGTTTGAGATCTCACACCATTGTTGGTGCGTGAATGCAGTTGCGCAGTCACTTTCTGCCAGGCCTGACTTGATTGGGACAGAAACTGCCAAGGTAAATTTATTTCCAGAATGTTTTTCTTCATGAAGATGAGTTGAAGATGTTACACATCTGATGTTCACCTTACGTATCGGAGCTGGCTATGTAATCTAATGTTCACCTTACACGCCTTGAGCAACACTGAATATCGTTTTTTGAATGGCACAAGAATCACTTTCAAGAATGCTCACAGAGGAATGTGCGCGCCTTGTTTCAAGGTACTTGCTGAGCTTCAAGACCGTCTGCCACCGTTTCCCAAAGATGAAGCTATTGCCATCATAGAAAGGGAGTTGGGGTGTAGTGTAGCAGAGGTTTTCTCCTTCTTGTCGGAGGAACCAGTCGCCGCAGCTTCATTTGGCCAGGTATATAATTGTGAAGAAATATACCATACCAATATGTCTGAAGAATATCCTCAATTATGAATTACTAAAACTGTTCGAAGTTTTTGTGGTATAGGTGTATCGAGGACGCACTAAGTCTGGAGAAGAAGTGGCAGTAAAGGTTCAGCGACCTAATCTATTATTCAATGTTGCACGAGACGTCTACATCCTTCGCATTGGAGTACACTCCTGAGACTCTTGGTTTACATTATTTAGTGTGTTCTACTGTCCGTTTATTTCTTAACAATATTTTCAATCGTCAAAATCCTATTAGCTCTTAAGCAGTTGTTTGCAATGCATGTTCAAGTTGGGAGTGTGTTTGAACTATTCCGTGCTTGCATGCTGAAAAGTAGAGGTCTTGGTAATGATTGTGCATGATGGTTTCACCTTTATTCTAACCGTTTTGACTCAACGTGCATGAAAACGCAGATGATAATATTGCAGAAAGTTGCAAAGCTGAGCAACAATTATGCTCTTGTAGCAGACGAGATAGCGCAGGGCTTGTACGGGGAACTTGACTATAGACTTGAAGCTGCAAATGGGGCAGAGTTTGCTTTGGCCCACAAGCACATACCTTGGATGTATGTTCCAAAGACATTTCCGCACATGACGCGGCGGAAGCTCTTAGTTATGGAGTGGTTAAAAGGCGACCGCCCGCTTGACTTGCAATCTGTGGCCCAAGGACTGCCGTATGTGGATGGCACTCTTCCCAGCCAGGAAGTTCAAGAGGAAGCAAGGCGGCGTCTTTTAAACATGGTTTGCTTTCTAGCCCTGGTCGCCGTCGGGTCCATATCAAATTATCATGATTTTTGGCGTCATTTTTATTCATTTCGTCTAGTTTATAGCTTCTGAAGCGCGCCGTTAGAGAATTCATGTTTCAGTTCACATGAATTCTTAACCAATTCGTTTACCTGTTTGGCAACCTCAGGTTAAAAAAGGAACTGAGGCAGCTTTGATTCAGCTGCTTGAGACAGGAGTAATGCATGCAGACCCTCACCCAGGAAACATTTTGCTAGGTCGCGATGGGCAGTTGCAGTTCTTAGACTTCGGTCTTATTACTCATATGGATAAAAAGCATCAAGATGCGATGCTTGCTCTTATTGTACATTTGGTCAATGGAGACTGGCAGGGTTTGACGGATGATTTGGTTGATATGGATGTGGTGAAGCCAACTACGGATCGTTTTGCAGTTCGACTGGTATGTCACAGGCTTCCGAATTCTCTTGCGTTGTCCCTACAATTTCTTTTACGTGAAGTTTGTGAAGTTTTGCTTTACATACCGTCAGACTGTTTGGACGCTATCAATCCTTCCTCAAACTTGAGAACATGGGTCTCGTGTCCATCAGAAGTGTAGACTTCCAAGTATGTACTTAGGGAATTTTATGATGGGAATTGTTACTCATAAAGTGCTATGTTGTGGATTAACTACTGAAGGACATTCAATTGAGTTTTTTGTTGAAACAAAATTAAAAATAAAAATAAAAATAAAAATAAATTCACGTTGCTTTGCTGACCAGTTAGCCTGCCATCTGTATTTGGGTAGGCATTGGAACGAGCATTTGGAGAGGGCCCAGACGCGATTGTTAATAATGGCATACCAGACCCAAACTTCAGCTTCAACAAAGTAACTAAAAAGTTTTTCAGAATTGCGTACAAGTTCAAGTTTCGGCTCCCTCCTTATTATACATTGGTGCTCCGATCGCTTGCTTCGTTGGAAGGCTTTAGTCTGGCCGTCGATCCTGAGTTCAAAACTTTCGGCTCTGCGTACTCATACGCTGTACGGCGTGTACTTCTGGACTACAGTCCAACCACCCAGCGAATGCTAAGGTCCCTTTTCTTGACGGAAAATCGTGCGATTAAGTGGGAACGCATATCAAACCTCCTGTCTATCTCCCAAAAATCTGTAGCAGATCGTGCAGTTTTGGAGGTAGTTACTATTCCCAAAGGAAAAAAGACTGGAGCTTTGGCTGCTATTCCGGATACCCTGGCAGGCTTAAATAACCCACAATCCAGCACAAGTAACATTGCAAGGTTATTATCTTCAAGACAAGGCGTCGGAATTCGCCGAGTGATGTACGAGGCAGATGCCCGTGACATAGCTTACATGTTTGTTTCTGCTCGCGCTGCTAAGCACCGACGCATCATTGCAGAGCGTCTTGGGGAGGCCTTATTCAACATCTTAAAAAGGAAGTACACCGCTGTAAATATCGAGCATGTGGTTGTGTCGCAGCCTGTGACGATGACTGATCGAATCGCGAACGACAGACGCTTACATCTGATCTTGAAATCTATGGTGGAGCGATTACGACCCCATCCCATCTTATTGGCCAGAGCTGGTTGGACTTCCATTTTCATCGCATTGTGGGCTGCGGCTCTTGCTCTCCATGACTTTGCAATCCATGTTAGCTTCAAGGTTCTTGAAAAGGCCCATTCAACTCACGAACACAATCCCAATATCAGAACCCAATCAGAGCTGGCGAATTGTGACCTTTGGTAAAAACCCGTTGAAGAATTGGATTACATTCAGAGCAACGCCGACTCTCACACATACAGGCACATGTTTGTATATATATATATATATGTATATATGCGCTGAATCAGTCGGCAAGCCAGCAAATTGGGTGCGGCGTCCTAATCACAAGAGCAGCTCTCGATCCAGATCGAAGATGCTCCAAAGAGGTTAGTTTCCATTTATAGTAGGGAGACTCATGTCACCTGGAATAATCCAGGCAGGAAGCCTTAAAGGTTGTGCTAATTTTTGTCCTACAAACAGCCGTGCCTTGTGTTTTTCTTTGGTATCCTCTCTTTCTGTTGCACAATTAGCGCCTGCAAGACCCGTTTCTGTAGCTGTATATTTAGCCTGTAAATAATCTGAAATTTTTCGTTCCACTGGTTTATATATGTACGTCTGTGCGAGAGTACAAAAAGGGAAAATTGTAGTGTTTTTTTTATCACATTGTGCGATCTGTAACAATGGATTGCTCAAGATATTCTGGTACAGTTTGAAAATCAAAGGATTCATGAATTTATATCATTATTTTATTATTAAATGAAAATTACTATTTTTCTTATTAATACTAATGTTGTGTGATTGTGGACTGATATGCAAATTTTAAAAGGAAGCTTTCATTAGATAAATAGTTGGACCATCAATATATGAATTAGCTTTTTATATACAAGTGCCAAATCAGTTTCATAGTATCTTCATTTGTGTGTGTGTTTTTTTTGTTTTGTTTTATTTTTTCAAATGCAAAAAATGGAATATGTCTAATGCATTAATTAAGTAGGATATGGTACAAAACCAACATCTTATTTCTTAGTACCTAAGAAGGTGGAGTCTTAAATAAAGTAATTCTTATTAGTAATTGGATATGTACACTTTACTAGATTATTTTAAAATCACATTGAGGTTTTTTAAAATTTCATTTAATCATCTTATACATTTTAACACAAAAGAAACATCTTACCATCTAAGATTTGTGCTATTTTTTTAGAAAGAAAAGTCTTCTATTTGAAATCCTTTTCAAAATTCTACTTGGTAGTTAACCAACTAATTTGACCACACTGCCTTAGAGCTACAAAGATTTCATTTCTTATGTGTTATACCATAATTATTTTTAAAAGATAAAATTATTTCTTTAAATCTAATTAATTTACAAACAAAGAAAGTAAAACTCAATATACTCTTATGTTACTTAAAAAGAATAGATATTTATTCAAAGTTAAAACAGTATTGAAACTAAAATGGCTATTATTAAAAAACAAAAAACTAAAAAGTCTTGAAACAAGACTAAAGATTAGAAAGGCATCGATAAAAGTAAAGAAGGCTTCATTCTAACCTTTATATATACTATCTAACTAAGAACTACGAGGCAACATTTTATAGGACCTCTAACACATATCTATCCTGAAAAGGATATGTTTTAACTTGCTAGGCAAGTTTTTTATAATATACAAGCCATATAATTAGTTTGTACGACAAGCTAACATCACATGTGACACATGGCTAACTTATTGGCTAAATTTCTAATCTATTAATCAACTACAAACATGTATAAAGTCAAAACCAAGTCTATGGAGCTTAAAGAATTTTTTTTATAAGATATTATCAAATTTATTTACTTTTATTTACTTCTATCTATTCATATGTATAGATAATATGAATAGATAATAGTTACATATATATATTTGTGATTGTAATGGATGTTGTTGATAAAAACATCAATATTCTTTTCTATATTTGTAAGATTTTTGATTAGCTCTTATATGCATTCATTAATATCATATCCACACCAATGAATAAGATATTTCAACCTATTTTAGCATTGCCTTGGGTCTAAGATTTCTTTGACTTTGATTATTCTCCGTTTCTATAAGAGGAGGTGGCATTTGTCATTTTTTTAATATATCTATTATATTGTATAGCTCAAAAAGAGACATATGAAACATAAAATGGATCTTCATAGACTCCAATAGGTGCAATGAATAAGCAATTGGATTGATTTGTTCACAAATAGAAAATAGTTCAAGCCTTTGTAAATCCAACTTGTCACAAATTCAACTAGTCTTGATATTGTTATAAAATAATCATATCATATTTCTAACATTGAATTGAAGTTGTTCTTTGCAATAGGCATCTACATTGGTCTTTTATCATTCTTGTGCTTCATTTAATTGTACCTTTATTATTGTATGTAGCTCAGATAAACAATTCTCTAAATCTTTTGATCCAAAATTATCAATTTTTGAGAAGCCAAAAGTATCAAGTTGTAGATGATAATCATAATTAGAAAAAAGTATTTATTATATAGAAGAATGTATCATATTATTATAAGTAAATTTTGCCAATGATAAAAAATTATCTAATTTTATTAATAATTCATGGTACACTTAAAATATTTCTCTAAAACTTGATTTATGCACTTTATTTGTCTATTACTTTCAAAATAAAAAGTTAAAGATAGTTTTATGTCTATATTTAGATTTTTTATTTTAAAATCGTGATACAAATTGAATCTTCTTATCTCTTATAATATCTTTGCATAATCTATGATAGCAATAGATGTTATTAAAAAAAACTTAGCTATTTTTTTACTTGTGATAGATTTTGTATTCAGTACAAAATGAACCATCTTAGTAAAATGATCTACAATCATGAATATAGAATTATAAGAACTTAAGATTGAAAGATTTGTAATAAAAGCCACAAAAACAAAAGACCATGGTTATTCTAAAATAAGTTGTGGCTGAAGAAGTCTATAAAGTCAATAATAAGGAGTTTTTGATCTTCAACAAATGTCTCATGATTGTACAAAGTTTTTGATTTCCTTCCACATTTAAAGCTACCAAAAATCTTTAAATATTAGATCTAAAATCTTGTTGTATCCAAAATATCTAACTGTTATAAAGTTGTAACAAGCTTAAAGAATATATAATTATACTTTATCTTTTGGACTATATAATCATTTGTTAAATTATAATAAATTATTTTTGAATTAAAAATTAGAAGTATGATGAAACTTAGAAGAATTATGCTTAATATTACAAACATGAAGACCATTGGATTATACTCAATTAAATTTGTTTGACAAAGGTTGAATCAATAGTCAATGTTGATTTTATTGCTTGAAGATAAAAATCCTCTAGCTTCAAGAAAATTATTCTTTATTGATCAAAAGCTACATTTTTTTTCTTTAGATGCAAGATAAAAACATCTAAAAAAGACATCTCACAAATGTTATTATTTTTTTGGTTGATAAATGATCTTGAAACCAAATCTTAATAAAGACATACTCCAATGGGCTTAGCAACAATTTGAAACATGTGCTGCCATGAATTACTTAAGGTTCTTATGATCAATATATATGGTGACTAAATTTATAGCACCTTTTAGTTAAAGATGTCATTCTTAAAATAAATTTATTATTACAAGAAGCTCTTGTTGTGAATCTTGTACTTGATCTCGGCTATTAAAAATTTCTTAGAATAAAAAGCTATTAGATGGAGCTTGTCATTTGCTTTTTGTGATCACATCCATAATAGAATCTGATGCATTTTTTTTATAACCAATATCTTAAAAAAATTGATATAATTCAAGATTGGTATAGAAATAAATGTTATCTTTAAAGCTTCAAAAGATGCTTCAACTTCTTTGGTCTATTCAAATTTGTCTTTATAGGTCAAATGTCTAAAAAGAGTTTCAACTTAAAAAAAATTTCTTGATAAAGATTTGATAATAATTGATAAAAAATAAAAAAATATCACAAATTTTTAATTATTTTTAGAATCTTTTAATCCATGATGATTTAAACCTTCTTAAGATCCATCATAAGGCTATCATTTGAAATGATGTATCTTAAGAAGTCAACTTGAGTAGTATGAAATATACAATTTTTTAACTTCATATATAATCTTATATCTTTTTTTTTATAACATACAATGAGTATGAAATTCATATTTTTTCTATTTTTAAAATAGATTAAAATATTATTTAAATAATAGATAAAAAAATCACTATAAAATTCACAAAAGACATCATTCATTAGGTATTGAAAAACAATTAATGTATTTATAAATCCAAAAGGCATGACATTATATTTGAAATATCAAAACCTAGTTTGAAACATAGTTTTCCATTTATCTCTTTTTTTAATGCATACCATCTTATATGTATCTTATAGATATATTTTTGTATAGATCTTTGCTTCATTGAATTGATTAAGAAGTCTTTAAATCAAAGATAAAGAGTGCCTATTCTTAATGGTGATCTTGTTGAATACTTGATAGTCCACATACATCTCCATATTCCATCTTTTTTCTTCACAAATAAGATAAGAACTCTTGTGAGAGATTTAGAATGGCATGTGAATTTTTTAGTCAAGTTCTTATTAATATATTACTTTAATATAACCAACTTATTCTGTAATAAGTTATACATTGATTCAAATATTGGTTGAGCTCTATTTTGAAGATCAATGGAATAGTTATAAGAATGATGCTTTAAAAGAATATTTGGATTTTTCTTCTTAAAAACATCTTAATAATCTTGGTATTGGCTTGAAATGCTACTTGAAGTCTTTCATCCATCTAAAATAAGTGAGGCATATATAGCAAAAGCTTTTTCTATATCTAAAAGAATTATTTGATAGATAACATCTCCAAAGGACAACAAACAACCATCTATGATTTCTACATGAATGTTTTTTTTTTTTTTTTTTTTTTTTTTTTTTTCAACTAAAGATATTTCTTATTTTTAATAAAAGCTTTGTCTATAAAACAAATTGAAGCTCTTGAATCTAACAAGGAAAATATTTTGTGATTTTTTAGTAAAAAAAGGTGAAGAATATAAAGAAAGAATAAGACCTTTGCTTTGTATTATGTAAGATTTCAAGTGCATGATTCTTACTATAATTTTTGTTTTATTTTTTTTTATTTTGTTTTATTTATTTATTTTTATGTATCAACTACTTTGACAATAATGCTCTTCATTTTTTTATTATATTGCTTCTTTGGATAATGTTGAGCAGTATATTTAGGTTCTCAATAATGTAAGTACAATTTTTTTGGATGATGTCAAGTCTTTTCTTCCTCAGTAAAAAATTTAAAATGTATTGTGTCAATATGCATAGGTTTTGACTTTGGTAAATAAGCATCTAAAAGCTTAGAAGAGTGCCATGACTTGACTTGTATCTCTCTAATCAAATATTTTTTCTTTGCATCTTTTAAAGAATCAATTATTGCATGCAATAACTTAAGCAATAAAGTGTATTAATGATTTTGCTTTCAAAACTGTCAACAATAAATCTTTGATATTTTCTTTTAATCCATATAAAAAACGATTGATAAAGATTTTATCATTCTAATCCATGTTGCAATTAAGGTTTTGGAATTTAATAGTATATATGGTGGCTAAATATAATCTTTTTGTAAAGATATGAATTTGATATCTAGCACCTTTTCTTGATTACTTTCTCTAAATGTAGCCATAAAATCTTCTAAAAATGAATTTAGATCATAAAATAGTCATAAATCATTTTCTATCAAAGATAAAAATCAAGAAAAAATATTCTTAAATAGAAATGCATCTATAAATCCAACTTGAATAAATTTATCAAGATATTGGAAAGGATGCAACCTTAGATAGAGCTTCACTTATTATAGAAATCTTTAAAACTTTGATTTTTTTTTGTTAAAATTTTGTGGCATACTTATCTTTGTCTCCTTTATATTTGTAATAGCAAGTCTTCTTGGATTCAATTGTAAATTTATTCTACTTGCTTCTCTCAATTGTACAATTTTTTGGCATAGATTTTGAATTTAATTGTTAACTTTTATCATAGATTTAAAAATAGTATTTTTATGATTCATGTTTAAAATATGTAAGATTTTGATCCTATAAATTTTGAAAATTTCATGAAGATTTGTAATAGTTATAAATTTATTTCCACTTCCATCAAAAGTAGCATCCATAATTTTTTTTTCATCAACAAATCAAATAAAATCATAATTGAAATTAGAAGAGGATAATTTATAGCCATTAATATCAAATAAAAAATTTATACAAAGGGACAGTTGATTTTTTTTAACATAAAAATTAGTGTTAAAAACTAAATTATTAATTTAAAGGTAGGTAGTTTGCAACCTTCAAAATACAACAATGGAAGTGGGATAATCTATTCACTTTTTAAAAGAAAATAAGAATAATAAATTAGAATTCTTGCTGAATTATTAAGGTCATAAATCAAAAAAAAAAAAGAAAAAAAAATCAAAACACTCTTATGTCATTCAAAAAAATAGATATTTATTCAAAGTTAACATAGTATTAAAATTAGAATGGTTGTTACCAAAAAAAATACATCTAAAAAGTCTTAAAATAAGACTAAAGACTAGAACGATGTTGATAAGAGTGAAGAAGACTTTATTCTTGCCTCAATATATATTATCTATTTAGGAACTATATAATGACATTCTATAAGATATTTGACACATGTCTAACTTGTAAGACATGTCTCTAACTTATAGGATAAGTTTCTTTTTTGTGCGCCACATAGTTAGCTTGTTTCACAAGCTACTATCATAAGCAATACAAGGCTAACTTGGTAGCCTAGTTTTTAATCTACTAATCAACTTCAAATACATATAAAATCAAAGATGCATCTATAAAGCTTTTAGAAAACTTTTCTACAAGATATTATCAAATTTATTTACTTTAATCTACTTCTATTGATTCATATTATCTAGATAATTATTATTGTAAATATATATATGTCTATGGCAATAGAATTTTTTCTATGAATCTAACTTTAATAAATCCAATAGGATATTAAAAAGGTTTTATTCTTAGATAGAGCTTGATTAATTATAAAAATCCTCAAAATTTTAATCTTATTCCATTAAACTTGTTTTGTATACTAATCTTTGCATCTTTCATACTTATAGTAGTAAGACTTTTTAAATTTAATTGTAAGGTAGATCTACTTGCTTCTTTTAATTACAAAACTTCTTGAAGTAGATATTAGACTTTACTATTGACTTCTTTTATAGACATACGAATAATACCTCTATAATTGACATTGATACTATGTAAAATTTCTATCCTAAGAATGTTGCCAAGCTTGTGAAAATCAACAATTATTACATATATATGCTCACTTTTGCTAAGTCTAGTATTTATATTTTTTTTTATATTTCTATTATAATTTTTTTTAATAAATCTACAAGTCAAATTATAGAAAGATAATCTTCATCCTTAATAACAAATAAATTATTTTACAAAGATGGTTAGTCCACTCTCTTTTATAAAAGAATCAATGTTAAAAATAAAAATTGTTAGTTTAAAGGTGGATAGTCTACAACCTTTAAAATACAATAATAGAAGTAAATTAGTCCACTTATTTAAAAAAAAAAAAACAAAAAAAACAAAAATAGTGAATTAATACTCTTATCAAACTATCAAGGTTATAAATCACAAATAATAAAAACTTTGATACATTCTTATATTTCTAAAAAAATAATAGATTTTTATTCAAAGATAGTATATTATTCGTAATTAAATGACTATTACCAAAGACAAAAAGATTAGAGATTCTTGAAATAAGATTAAAAATAAGAAAGATATTGATAAGAATGAAAAAAGCCTCATTTTTGCCTTTATATATACTACCTAATTAAGAGCTATATGGCGACATTTTTTAGAACCTCCAACATATGCTCAACTTACAAGACATGTATCTAATTTACAGGACAAGTTTCCTACATGTATACCACATGGCCATCTTATACAAGTCACCCACATGTGTAACATGTGACCAAGTTTTGAACCTATCAATCACCTACAAATACATATATGAGCTAATATAAAATATCTATTAGTTGATATCTTATTCTAATTTATAATAATTGAATTAACTTAAATATTTAGTTAATTACAACTATTGCATTAATCTTTATTAACTACCTCTTTAATTCTTCCAAAATATTCCAATTTAATCCAAAGAACTTCATAAAATTTATATATGCAAATTTAATCAAATCTAAAAGTTTTTATTTATTAATAAAAATTTAATATTTCATCACATTTTATTTATAAATAAAATTTTATCCATGGATAAAAATTCATCCATTTAAATTCATTCAACTAGCACAAAAATTTATCTTACAAAATCTAACTTCAATAACATAAAAGTTCTTATAAACTAATTAATTTTTGTTTATAGATCTTTGAAAGAATGTGATGTATTGATAATATTACTAATAAGCTTGTTGGATTTCTAAAATTTTCTTATTATAATTATAAAATCTATTTAAATTAAAGATCTCATATATAACTAAATAATAGAAAAATTAAACTATAAAGTTACTAAATATAAGGAGAAAGTATTTTAATGGGAAGATTCTTTCATATATGCATGTTATGGCAAATCAAACACTTCTAATCGATGTCTTATGCTTCAAACTTGTTATATTTGTGGCAAAATATGCCATCTTATTCACAATTACTTCAAAGCCAAGAGTATGAAATGAGAGAATGCAAAAAATGTGAGGCATGTTGATGTAAGTAATGATTATATATTTATAACAAGTGAAAGAAGTTTTATAGCTTTTATGACCAAATAGATTGTAGATTTGGATTGTTTCAAACACATGATACGATTAAAATGTTCATTTAACATTTATAAGTCTATTCAACTAATAAATATATATATTAAATATAATAGCTTGGCAAAAGCTATTAGATTTTTTATTTTATTATTGAAGATATTTTTATAAAGAAAAAAAAGAAAAAAATAAGATTTAAGGATATTTTCTATATATCCAAATTAATACAATATCTCTTATTAATAAGCAAACTTATGATGGATGGTTTTAAGGTCTAATTTGAAATTGATGGATGATTTGTAAAGACATTAAGTTGAGATATGGTTGCCATGGATCCAGCAAATGCTACTTCTACATCTTCTTTTATAAAAAGGAAAATAAAATGGAAGTGGCAATATTTATTAAATTTCTATTAAATCAACATAATAATAATAATAATAATAATAATAAAAACAGCATTTGGCATTGTTGTCTTAGGCATTTAAATTTGAAGAACATGAAAGATCTTCAAATCATGGTAAATAGCTTGGATCTTAGTCTATATACAATAGATATTGCTTATAAAGAACAACTTTAAAGAAAGTAACAAGTGGCTTTATTTTGAAGTGGTGGAGCAATACATGCTTCTAAAGTATAAAAAATAGTACATTTAGATGTTTGTAGACACATGAAGGTGTAGAGACAAAATTCACCCTTCAATCTAAAATACAAGATAGCTTCAATGGAGAATTGCTTCTATTTGGTGGTATAAAGAGAGAAAAATAAATAAATGAATAAAATAAAAATGGAAGAAGAAGAAGAAGAAGAAGAAGAAGAAAGAAAGAAAGAAATAGCAATACAAAACAAGTAAAATAATTGCAATCAAGTAATTGCATATTACAAAAATAATCACAATTTGTTCATTGAATTTTTATCTTATAACAAGTAAAAAAAGTAAAAATAAAATGAAATAGATAGTTAATTTTTATTTTTTCAACAACACAAAAAAGTATACAAATCCAACTTAATATGAATAAGTTATGATAGTTTAAAGATAAAATATAAATATTGAAAAAAATGAGTATGTAATTTTTTTTTTCTCAAGGATAATTTGCTTAAGAAATCAAGAATTTGAACCTCACTAAGGTTCACGATTAGTATATAAGAGTGTTGTAAAGAGGCCACAAGGCCTTAGTCTTATCCTCCTATCTACATCTAAGATGCTACAACCCATATAGGACTAATGCACCTCCCTTCGTATAAGGACTATATTAGTTGTTAATCCTCATATTTTTTATTAGTAAAATCAATATTTTTGCATTTTTGACTTCATCTTAGAGTAAAAGAAAATCCAATTAGTCTAATAATCTTGTAGGACCTTCGAACCTTGCTCCATTTCTTCATATAGGCATCTTAAAGTAGTAAAATTTATTTATTCAAAGTTTTAAAAATTGATCATAAAATTTCTTAAATTTTTAAAATAAATTATGCAAATCTCTATAATGTTTTAATAATACTAATATCAAATTAAGGCTACCTTTTCCTACCTTGTTGATTTTTTATAGAAATTAAATAAATTTAATCAACTTAAAAAACTTTTTTTATAACTAAATAAATTTAATGTTGTATAGAATTTTTAGAAACAAAAAAAATAATAAATAAATAAATAAAATTACTACATATATTTATTTGGAAGAAAAAAAAATCAAAATCTTTCAAGATAACATGATGAATTTGAATATATAAGGTTGGAAGTATTGGGAGGCCTTCCAACATGGTATAAGATTTGTTGAGGGAACCGATGTATTCATCTACAAAGCCCCAGAGACGTTCATCTATGTAGCCCGAAGCCAGAACGAGGAGCTCCCTATCCGCACAGCTGGAGCAGAGTTGTCGAGAGCATTGCGAAGTTTTTTCAAGCATCGCGCCACGGAGACCGTCCCACACTCATCGTCGCAATCCATCTACCTGCAGCGTAGCTTTGCCTCCACCTCACCTGCTTCGTCCCAGTTGGGTTCTTGAGAATTTCCAGAAACAGTCTCGAAATCATGAGTTCTTCAGTCGCTATCGTTTTTCTGGGACCTTTGCAAATGTTGCATTCTCCGTAGCTCTTGCCTTTTGGCGTCGCCGTCGGAATGCACCGATGCCGTGGTTTTGTTCCGACAGATCGTATCTGCAGCGTGTTGGAAGAGGAGCTGAAGGTTGGGAGAGATGGCGGTGAATGGGGGGGTCCCTCCGGCGTACTGCTTGCCGTGTAGGCGTCGGGTGCTACATTTGGAGTCTTTGTCTCGGTTCTCGACTTCGAAACCTTTGCTCATTCGAGTTCCGATTGGGAGGAGGAACTTTCATTTTACTTCTGATTTTTCCCAGTTGATTGTGGCGAAATCCTCGTGGGGGTTTAGGGGTAAGGAAGGTGCGGGCGATGCAAGGGAGGTTAAGAGAAATGCTGCGTATGGTGTGTCTAGAGGTATTTTGCGAACCCGGAAGCCGAACGAGAGGAAAGAGGTGCGGGATGTTGTAAATGATGATGATGATGATAGTGATAGTGATTGTGCAGATTGGGAGGAATTTGACAGTGATTATGTGGAGACTTCTGGAAGGTTTATGCAGAATCGCAGTGGGGCTAGTATCTCTAGGGCAAGTAGTGTTGACAGGAACAGAATTGGAGCAGATGCAAATTATGGCACAGAATTCGGCAACTCCAAGTACGAGGGTCGAAGTAGGTACAGCAATGGAAACATAATTTCATCGTTGGGTGAAGATTTTGAGCGGGAGTGGAGGCAACCACTTAGCTCGAAAGTTCCGGACAGTCCCAGGAAGTTGAGACTTCCATCTAAAAGCAGTGGCTTGGAGCGTCGGAGTAGGGAAATTAGGCCGAGACAGGAGAAGCACGTCAGAGACGATTATGACGTAATAGGTGGCTGGATGGGGACCAGGGAACCAAGCGAGAATTTCAAAAACTCGAGCATATACAAGCAACCCTCGGTACCATTGGACAATGCTGTGAAGCATCAACGAGGCGTTGGGTCAAATCGATACCCCTCGCCTCCTCCGTCCTCTGGAAAAGTCCCGAAATACCTGAGACCGATACATGAAAAGACGAAGTCCTTAAATCGAAAGCGACCTAAATCTAAGCTCTCCTCTCCCACTGAATCAACCCCTGAGACACCCACCCCTCATTTTCAACTCCAAACTAGAAATACGACCGACTATGCTACATCCTCTGATTTTATTATACCTCCTGTTATTAAACCTGAGCTTCCTTATCAGTTCAGCTACTCCGAAACTCCTAAAGAGACTCCGCTAGGGTACCGGGAGCCGTTGTACTCTCCTTTCGGACATGAAGGGGTGACCAGACCATATCTGGGAAGGCCGTCCAAGATGAAGAAAACAAAGAAGATACGGGCAGAGTCTTGGGGTTCTTTCGATTCGCCACGAGCTGACAAGAATGATGTCAAACCTATTCACAGGTCGGGGTCTCATCCAGAACCTCAACCTTTGGGGAAATCACGGGCGAAAATATTGGGCGCTCCTCTCACCACTGCAGAAGTAGAGGAGCTTGTAATGCAATGTCAGAAAGAGGATCGTCAGCTCAATTTAGGTGAACTCCTTTCCAGATTTCTTCACATTTGCGTCTATCTGAAATATTGTGTATTTTTTCGATTCTTTCCTCGTGAGGGTGAATATTCCCTCTTACTTGAGATTTATGTGTATGATTCTATCAACTTCTGCTACTTTGTTATCTCCTAGTTTCTGAGGTCGCTGCGTTATGAATTTAAACAGATTACGATAGGAGGTTTGCTCTGCTTATTCTGGGTTCAGGGTTTGTGCGGCGGTTTCAGCTTCGCCGTACCTAAGTAGATGTAGGAGTTTTCAAGATTTTATAATTGGTCAATATAGCATATGTATTTTTTAAATCTATGGGATAAATCCGACTCAGCCTAAAAATGAAGAACAAATTTCATAAGACCTCGTCGTGAACTATATGCTAATTGCGCTGTAGTATACGTCGGTGTCAGGTGAGCCACTTCAATTATGATTGGGTAGATTCTCACTTGAACGTTTTTGTTGAACGGCTATCCTGATCGTTGCCTGTTTTGGTGGTGCATTCCATGTGAAGGGAGGGATGGTTTCACGCACAACATGCTGGCTTCTGTGCATGACTATTGGAAGCGTCGTCAAGTTGTTAGAATAAAGTGCAAAGGTGTTCCCACCGTAGACATGGACAACGTTTGCACCGTTCTCGAGGTCTGAACATTTCCTCTTTTAACAAGACTTGTCAATTGCTAATTGCATTTAGCAATAACACTGCCCAAGTTTGCATGCTCATCGGCCCTTGCTAGAGCAATTCTAAATCTTTTACTCTGTGGGCTAATTGCGTGATTTGTGATGGATATGCATAGATGAGAAATGGTTCATGAATTCATAGTGTTTACAATGCGCAGGATAAGACTGGAGGCAAGATAATCTCTCGTGCAGGAGGTGTAGTGTATCTCTTTCGTGGTCGCAATTATAATTATAACACTCGACCTAAGATTCCACTAATGCTGTGGAGACCTCCAGCACCTGTATACCCTAAGCTTATACAACGCGCACCTGAGGGTTTGACTGTTGAAGAGGCTGACAGCTTACGGAGGCGTGGGCGGAAAATTCCAGCAATATGTCATTTGGGTAAGAATATTAGAGTCCAAATTACAATGGTAACCTTTGGATTCTTCTGGACCTGATGTTTTGCATGTAGGTGTATGTCATTTTGAAGAATATAGTTTAATGCTTGCTGCCATTTTACTTGGAACCCCTAATAGTTCCGTGGCTTGGATTGTAGGTAAAAATGGAGTGTATTTAAATCTTGTCCGGGATGTGCGAAATGCTTTTCAAGCTGACAATTTGGTCAAAGTAGACTGCGAAAAAATGAATACCCATGACCTCAGGAAGATCGGTGCCAAACTTAAGGTAATTCTCGTATTTCGTATCACTCTGTTCCAGTGAACTTTCAGATTGTGCTCGTATCTGCTATCACTCTTGTTTAAGTACAGTAGTCTAATGTATACTTCACATTTTCAAGGATATTGTCCTAGAATGTTTTATGGTGTGAAAATTTTCCTTGAAAGTTGATCCTGGATAGAGTTCTAAGAGGATTCAAATGTTGAGGGGGGTCACCTCCATTCTTCATGGCTTAAACTTGCTGCTACTTAACCGTTGATTTATTTTGCACCCCTGTTTTCACTTCGACAGGATCTAGTTCCATGTGTTCTCCTTTCCTTCGACCATGAATGTATTTTGATGTGGAAAGGACCTGAGTCAGTTGAGAGCTCAAATGAGCTCGAAGACGACTACTCTAGAAAATCTGGACCGTCTGCTTCAAAAGATTCCTCTGAGAATGGTAACAACGAGGACGATGAATGGAGATCGAAGAGTGGTCCAGATATAGATAGTGACGCAGATGAATCAATTATTGCTGGAGATGAAGACTGGGAGGCAGCACATAAGAATGATGAGGCACAAGAACCGATTCAGGAAGAGGGAGACTTTAGTTTGACAAAACATAGAGCCTTAATTTCTGAAACAGATGTTCCGCTGCACGATACAGATGCCGAATCTCATGCAGGATCTGATGTTAAATCCTCTTATTGCGAGGAAGAAGCCGAGCTGCCAGGCAAGGATATCACGAAACCAGAATTTAACGAGGCAATTAGAGAATTTGAGTCTTTATGGCAAGCAGCTAACTCCTCTGGCGAGGTTTTGCTATTGGATGAGCGTGAAGTTGACCCTGACCATATTCTGGAGCTGGTGAAGGACCATTTTGGTGGAGTTCCGATGAAACCTCGTACCAAAGGGATTGCAAGCAAGAACACTGCTAGATCAGCTGCAATGAAAACTACAAAGCTGGAGAGGGTGCCCAGGGATTCTTCTGGGCTTGTGCAAGTTGACGAATTGGCTAGACTCTTAGCTCCATGAGCTATTCTAGATGCCAAGAATTCTGTAGTATTTCCACGATGTGATTCCTTCAGCTGCCGATGCTCGATGTAGAAATATTGCGCTACCTACAATGCAAGATGCTGGTTTTTTCACTTCGAAAGAAACTTGCTTCCTGTCCACTTTTCAAGTGTTGGACCGTCCAAGTTTCAGAAGAGGGTTGTAATTTTAATGTGACAGCTTTTTTAGTTCCAATCTTCATGATTGTTGATCAAATAGATTTCCAAATTCCCGTAGGCGTCTGTAAACGGCATGACAGGATATACTTGAAGGCAAACTTTCTTACCTGTTCGCGCATATGTTGTGATCTTTTAAACTAAAATACTTAAAACCTGAACTTCAAATAGAAATAAAAATTAGTATTAGCTTATGTGCCTAAAAAATAAGTATTTATTATAAAAAACATAAAAATTAACTTCTTTTTTTAGATATATTATTATTTTTAATAATATTTTTTATTATCAAATTTCAAATAAAATAAAGTTTAGCTGTATGAGTTACAGAACCAAAGCACTCTGAACTCACTACCCACAGTGCACGTGGAATCGTTTCTAGTCATCTACGTTTCGGTCTAGAATGGCCAAATCTACGTAACTGGAAGACATAAACTCCCGGAACGTGTTCATACGGGCACAAGCTATTTAGTAAGCCCTAATTCTCAGTCTAGCGATTTCTTTCTATTTTGCAAGCAATCCTGTGAACTGCTCCAGTTGTGTTCGCAGCTCCGCGATCGGCATTTCACTTGCAAGCCCTTGTCAAGGCTCTTTGTTTTTCCGATCGCATTGTTACGTATGTACATGTGAAAGTCTCGCAAAAAGTTGCAATCTGATCACGAGAATTTTGCAACTCTGGGTCGCGTTGCTGAGCTCCGCCATCACTCATGCTGCGCCCCGGCCTGTCTCGTTTTCTGCCGCTCCGAAGAATAATTTCGTCTTCCTCTCACGCGGCTGCGGCTGTGCCCTTCTCCTCGCTGTCCAATTCTAACTTTCGACGAAGTAATGCTTCGTCGGTTCCACATGAAGGACATGAAGTGCGAGAAGCACCGTTATGGTTCTTCTCGCGATCTGAAAATGGGTCCTTAGGCTTTTGCAGGGCTTTTAGTGTGTCGCGTATGGAGCTGAAGGAGTTTTTAGTTTCAGGCACGGAAGAGACCATTGAGGAGGCAGAGTACATTGAGTATGTACCGGAAGCAGACGATTTAAGCGGTGGTGAAACTCTGACGTCTTTGCTAGAGGAGGATGTGCATTCTGATACATCGGATGACGAGAGATTCTCTTGTGTAAGTTCGCTCTGCTGTTTTTGAAATTTAATGCATTGAATTAAGGCAATTTTAAGCTATTTGAAGAGGATTGCTCGATTTCTGTACTTGATGTATGTATGTAGTTTAGGGTAGTGAGAAGTGCTGTGCGCAGATGCATCCAAATTAATGTATCGGGGGGATTCTTCTTCTTTCGGAATCCTCGTGGTTGACGTGCATTGGTATGTCTTGTTACTCTTATGCTTCTGTAAAAAACTTGCAGGATGCGTGCAGGAAGGTGTAGACGAGGGGATTTTGGAAGATGCAGAGCCAAAGTCAGATCCTGAGGGTCGGAGTTACCTTCACGTGCTGACTGTAGAGGAAGTGAAAGAGATCCTTGATAAAACAAGGGCTGATGATGTCCAAGTAATACGAGTGCGTGACCTTTGTGAGTGGGCTGATCATTTGGTAATTGCATCCGGCCATTCAGGCAGGCATTTGAGGGGAATTGCCGACGCCATCTGTTTCGAAGTAAGTTTTCCTTCACCAACCCGCACATAGAGCAGAACATCTGATGTAGTAAGTATATACACATACTTCGCAACCGGCTTCTATTGGTGTAAAAACGAAGTGCGCGATATTTCAACATCCTGTAGTGCTCTTACTGAATTATTCCATTTTTGTTCCTTTCTGGTTTAATTTCTGTTCCAACTTCAGGTGAAAAAGCGCTCAACAAACGTGGGAGACAATGTATATCCAACTGTTGAGGGTCGAGACAGTGAGGAATGGATGGTGGTTGATTGTGGTACGTTGACGGTGTCTGGTGTCCTATTCCTGCATTCAGTGTTAACGTTCTTCATCATTCTTGTGTTCTGTTTTACTAGAAAACATTTTTCTCATAGAATTAGTTTGCATCTGTTACTACTCCAGTTATATGGTAAATGATGACAGTACTTCTCCCTCTTCTCTTGATTGATAAACAAATCTGGTGATGGTTGCAGGCAGCATTGTAGTGCACGTGTTTAGAGAGGATGTTAGATGTGAATACAATCTGGAGGAAATGTGGCGGAAACGAAGACCAGCAAACATTAAAGACATTGGGCTTTGACACTAGCAGTCTGAGCAGTTGCTTATGAGGTGGATTTATCTGACATTGACTTGAGCACCATGGCGAGCACTTTTTCCGGGCTAAAGCTTTTCGTGTGTTTTGCTAGGATCTTTTGTAACTTCCACTTTGCAGCAATGAATGCAGAGCCAGGTTGAAAATTATATTCAAAAACCAATTACAAGCTATCCAGTTTTGATTGTTATCAAAAGATTATTAATATCATCAGATAGAAAAGGAACTTTGTGCGGTGTGCTTCAAAATGTAATATTACTCCGTTCCATTTGTAGAAGCTTGTCTGATTCGTGGCAACATAAATGTTTATACTTCATGTAAAACCTGAAATTAGTTTATTTGTTTCAGTTTATCTTGAGATCGATCAAAAGTTGGAAAATAGGGTTTTGTAGGAAGATGGATTGGGAAAAAATTCTTAGGACAGTACACGTGGTCCAGTTCTCAATAGATTGGGTTCTTGTTGTTGTTTTCTTTTTACATTACACAATTTTTAAAATTAGTGATTCAAAAGTAGTTGCGTGTATTTTTAATTGATTAATTTTTGATTAACAACAGTGGATATGTGGTCCCAAACTTTATTTAAATTCTTCTTGCAATTACTTTGGATTCAAGCAATTTAAAAAAGTATTCAATGCAACATTTGTATAAAAAGCCGGAATAGGTAAATTAATGACAAAGCTTAAATATCACTTAGATTGTAAGCTTTGGATGAATTAAAAAAGGTGCAATTTAATCAATATTATTTTAATACATTCCACATATATCACTTTTAATATTGAGATGTATTGGAATAAAAGAAAAATAAAATAAAAGACTGGAAATATACATAGAAATATACCTACATACATAATAATATTTTAATAAAAGACATTTTAATAATATACAACCTTCTATATGACAAATCTTTAAAGAATGCATTGTTTATATGAAACAAAAGAATAATTTTCTGAAAATTATAGATCTTTGTTTTAGATCTTATTAGTATAAAATTACATAATGTAAAATGGCCAGTGTACTAGCCACTTTTTAATAATTAATTTTTAAAAATATTTTAATGTAGCAAATAAAAATATTTGTAGAAATCTTGTGTATTAAAAGAAGATTACATTAAGCATATAATTTATAAAGAAAAAATTCTAATCTATTCTCTTACTTTTATATCTGTAATTTGTATAAAGTGTATCATTTCTATTATTTAAAAAATTCCAGCAATAAATTTTAAAATATATTAAAATTAAGTATAATATTACAATAGCCAAATATAAAGCATATTATTAAATTTTTAATAAAATAAAAATTAAAGTAAAAAAAACTTAATATATGTATGTAGGTATATTTCTATGTATATAAATATTTTATATTTTTAAATTATCAATAATTTTAAAAAATCAAATTATATATTTTATTATATAATTAAAATATATATATTTTTCTACTTATATGGATTTTAATAAATTTTTAGTTTTCTTATTTATTAACCACTAAAATTAATATTTTTATATTAATTATTATCAAATATATAAAAAATATATCAAATATAACTTATATATAAATAAAGAGTACCAAATTTTTAGATGGTTGTTAAAAATAGTAATTTTATTATTTTCAAAAAGAAACTATTATGTGGTTTAATATTTCAAAAATAAACTATTTATTATTTGCAATAATATTTACCTTTGTTTCACCAATTATGCAAATTTGAGACCAAGTATCTACATAATAATTTCTTTTTGAAAGCTTCTTATTCTGTGCTTTAAACTATTATGTGGATACCTTCATTTTACTATATGGACACTTTCCTAAATTATATCAATTGTTGAGAGCATTAAATATAGCCAGCACTTTCTATAATATTTATTGTAGTTTATAATAAATACTATATCTATAAGGTTTGAAATATAGTGGGAAGAAACTATTCATCTTTTCTCCTTCTCTTTATATACATGAGATAACTACATCAATATACTTTTGTTTTTTTGTATATGTGTGTGTGTGTTTTTATGTGTGAGTATATTACTTCCAGCTACTCTTGTGTCTCTCCAAACATTTTCAACACCTTATCAGCACAACTGCTCATGTATACTAATCTTAGTTCTTAAAAACATATGTGTACTTTCTCCTTTACCTTCTCATCATTTTTTTTTTTTTTTTTTTTTTTTTTTTTCTCTTTAGTGTATCATTCTATATGTTATTGTTGTTGTGCCTTGAATACTACGCCTTATTGCCAAATTGTTGCGCCTTACCATTGACTACAATGCCTCACCATTTGCTGTTGCCATCTGCCACTATTGTCACCATCTACCGCTACTACCAATGTCAAGGTAGAGAGAATATGCCTTAAGAAAGCATTGGGCTTTCGACTATCACTAATTACTCAACCAAGGATCAAGATTAAAAAAAAAACACCAAGTTTATATATAAAATTGTCTCTAAAGGGGCAATTACATCAATACATAAGCCCAAAGTACCAAAGATCACCAAAAATGTGATAAAAATATTATAAAAACTTGTATATCTTTAAGGTGATTTTTCTCCAAACTTCAAAAAATCATATTTCACGATCGGACCATCCAAAAAACCAAAATTTTACATGAAGTATTGATATACTTTTAACAACTATCACAACAAATTTCAACTCCAAATTTATTACGGATCTTGAGATATTGCTAAAATCCTAATAATAGCTTCAAATCCTTGCTTACATACACTTGTGTGAAAATTTCTTCATATCTCACAAATTAAATATTCAAATACCATAAAATTTTGATATATAGCTTCTTAACCTAATAACATATAGTTTTGGAAATTTTGAGCCAAAAGTTCATATAATAAACTTAAGATATGGCTCCAACCATTACTATCAACAAAACGACTCACTTACTGCCTTTGAATTACATGTGCTGTCTTCAACACTCTATAACTTCTTCATACAAACTTTAAATGCAAAAATTCTTTTACAAAAGATGTAGATCTTGAAATCATTTTCAGAGCCGCACCTTTCTATCTCCATAAACTTTCATAAAACTCCTTGTATCCTCAAAAGAGCAACAATATATCTTAAAAAGACTTCTTAACTTCAAATGGCTATAATTTCATCACCTAACTTCAAATCATCTAAAATTTTCACACAAATTGTAGCTCAAATCCTAAACTTTACAATTCTTACTTTTGATTCTCAAATGCTCCTTTTGAAGTTGCCAAAACCCTTGTTATGATTGCGGATAGCCAGTTGAATGCCTATTGGGCATAGCCTTCAACTAATAGGGATGAAGATCTTTTCTTTTTTCCTTCATTCATCCATACTTTGATTTTATCCTTCCAAATAAGTTTTTCAAAGGTTTAGATCTTTATTTTTGAGCTGCAATCTTCTCTTTAAATTTTATACTAAATATCTAAATTTCATATAATTTAAATACTATAATTAATATAAATAAACTTTAAAATAAATATTCTCACATCAATTCTCTTCAAATTAATCTACTAACTATTTTAATATACATCAATACTTATAAATATATAATATTTTTTAGTTAATTTTTATATACTATAAATAATTACAATACAACACTGTAATCCACTATAGTTTATTATAGATCTTTTTTTGTGTAAAAATAAATAAATAAATAAATAAAAATAAAAAATCCCCAAATTTTTAATATTTTTTATTTCAAGTTCTATTTTATCATTTTATTTGGCTTTACATTTCAAGGTGTATTTTACTCGACCTTTTTTCTTAATCTTCTATTTTCTTCACGAATTTATTTATAATACACACTTTAACATCTTCAACTACCTTTATTACATTTTCAACTATCACCACTATATTCCAACATTTTCAAACTCTTCTATTTCTACCATTGGCTGCTAATAGAAACAATTATCTATTATAGACAAAAATGGCAAAAATAAATTTATTTTCATAACAACTTCTAAATATAATTTTTTTTAAAGAATCTCCTACCATAAGTATTTCTATTCTTCTTGCTATCCATTAAAAAGAACTTCTTTTCCTTCATTGTCATCTTATACATGCATTGCAATATTAATATTTAGAAATCAAAGAATCATCCTAAAGCACTTTGGAAGAATCTTAAATCAAGGTTTAATCATCAAAAGTCTATTTTTTTTTTTTTTTTTTTTTTTTTTTTTTTTGTATACATGTCATGATTGGACACATTTATATGTTTTGAATTTTTCAAATTTAAATGCTTTCAATAGTGAAATGTATTGTAGTGTCTTATATAGACAAAGCATCTTTGAAGCAGAAATGATTGAAAAAATTCTTTCTATATTTCCTCTTGCATTTGTTGTGCTAGCACAATAATATATGAACATGAAATTTCAAAGTCATCTTGATCTCATGTCTTATTTATTTCTTGCAAAAAAAAAAATGAACTACTTTTGTATAATGCAGAAGCTTGTTCTAGTATAATCATGGTTTCAAAATCTCATATATTTAAAATTTCAAAGTCTAAGAAGAAATTATATAAATATGGAAAAAGTACTCATAAGCACCAAGGCAGTCATAATTGTGACAATTTCCACTCATATGGAAAAAATAAATGCTCTACTATTAAGTATAGTAAAAAATAAAAATCAAATATGCATTCTTTTTATAAATGTGGGATGATTGGATATTTAGCACATGCGTGAGGCACTTCAAAATACTTTGTTAAAATATTCCAAGAAAATTAGCTTTGAATTAAGGCTTATAAAGTTCATACTATGGATGCGTCCATGGATTCAATTGGTATTGATGATTTAGAAGCTTATATGAATGATAAAATCTCAAATAATGGCTCAAATGATGCATTCATTGATTCTGCAACAACATATATTATGCTATGACATAGATAATTTTTTACTAAAAAGTCTTCAACTTGGCAAACTAGAAATTTGATGACTATAGCTAAAATGAATGCATTTCATTTCCAAAAGAGAATAATAATGGTAAAATTATCCATCGGATTCATCATAAAATATAAATATGTAATATTTATATCTTGAGTACTTCAAAGTTTGATTAGCTACTGAGATGTATTTGTTAATGGTTATTACTTCTTTACCACCTATCTAGATACATAGGAGATTTTGGTTTTTTCACACAACTATAAAGTTGTTGAAAAAGCCTTTGTTGCAATAAATGATTATACCAGATTGCAATATAATTTTTTTATTATCTTTGATTTTGTATCATCTATCATAGAAAGTTGCATTTTTCTTTGGTATAGACAATTGGAACACCTAAGATCCACATTATTTTGGAAGATAATTTCATATATAACTGAGCATAATTT